CCATTATAGACTAATTTTAAAATTAGGCAAGGAAACTCAAATAAATCACCACAACTAGAAAGAGCACACTAAAATTAGTAAAATTACAAAGTTTGGTTGCGAATTGTTGTAAAATGAGGAAAATATAGCCTTGCAAAGTTCGCAAATTTTGTATACTTTTGTATTGCTTGCGGAAATTCCTACCACATTCCTACCACATTTAGGCCGAAAATGGCCGCACGCAATACAAAAGTATACAAAATTTGCGAACTTTGCAAGGCTATATTTCCCGCATTTTATAACATTTCGCAACCAAACTTTGCAATTTTACTCATTTTAGTATGCTCTTTCTAGCTGTGGTGATTTATTTGCATCTCCTTGCCTAGTTTTAAAATTAGTCTATAATGGAAATTGTCTATTGAATCGTACCATTATGTGTAGGTTATAAACTGTATTTCTATAGGCCCTTTCTAAACGAGAAGCAGATTTTAAAGTTATATTTTACTTTACCCTTTACTGGCAACTGCATTTGTGTTTCCAGAACAGCACAAATAGATTTAGAACTGTATATTTTGTGTAGAACTGCTGCACGGTAAAAATTTTTGGTTCCTTCCTTTTTTAGAATTTTCCTCATGGTGGTTTTGTGTCCCTGACTCGCTAGTATATATTGGAGGCTGCCAGTAACTTTAATCAATATTTCAAACAAAATAGTTAGATAATTGTACCATTTTTTGCGGCAAGCTGAACTAGAATTTATTATTGAAATAAAAGGTTTTTCAAATTTAATTGTTCTGAAATTTTATTATGTATATGGGATACTTGTTAAATTTATTTGTTTTCACAAAACTAGCTCGCTTATACATTCGTCGTTCGCTTTGTGAAAATAAATTACGGACAGTGACACCGCGCTAATACTAATTAACCCACTTCTTCACGAAACTCTCATCGTGTTTGCTATACATGAAGTACGGGTAGGTCGCAGAAATTCTCCTGCGACACATATTTCTCGCGCGAATCGTCACGGTGGGAAATGTAAACACCAAATCATTGGAAAGCCATATTGTTTGTATATTTGATGGTTACGTAGTTCCAAAACTGTATTTAAAGGTCGCATGAACAGGAAGCCTATATAGAGTTCATGATGAAGTTATGAAGCCTAGTATATAGAGTTCATAATTTTGATGTGTATGAAAATTGCTGTTTGGAGAAGAGATATGATCATTTACTATGTTTATAGTTTATCAACATTTTTACGTTAATTGTTTATCAATAACATTTACCATGTTATTGTTTTTCTGATTCCCTATTATCCCCATATGTCCACGATGCCCCTTTTAACCTCACGCACTTGCTTCTAGCATACTCCAACCCGCAAGTTATTAATTATAAACAACCAACTCTGATAGAGTGATAAAAGATAAGTCACAAAACCTCAAACTACAAAGCCTCTCCGGAGGAGAGTGGTTTTCAGGTCTCAAGGAATTGGTTCTACAATCACAATTTTTCAACAGCTGATTGCTCTCAAAGACAAAGATCTTTCAAAAGTCTTTGGAAATAGGCAGAAAATTTTTTTGAAAGTCTTCGATTTCTTTTTCTCTTAGAGAGCACATGTCCTCTGTGAGGAGGCCGATATAAAAATAGATAAAATTTTAACTATTTGTGAAAGAAACTATATTGTATGAAATGTGATAGTGTCAAAATATTGGGAAAATTTCAATAAAATATTTTGCATTGGGGAGTCCTTCAAAACCTTTACATTTCATCGTAAGAATCTCACTGCCAGTCAAACGGGGTCCATTGTGGTCGAAAATGTGTCTTAAAAATAATACTACCATTGCACATTTTTTGCTTATAAAAATATTTATTACGTATAACTTGAAAATTGTTACAATTTAAATACAATGATGAAGAAAATACAAATGACGAAATGTTTAATAATTAACGTGCATGCAAATATGATTAATGATTTGATACCTGGATACGTACATACTATCATGGTATCATACTTTATTAATTAATATTTATTCACTAACTGTAAATGACGTAATTACATCAATTATACATAAAAAAGATCCTCATGATCAATTATCGGATCACCTAAAACTAGTAGTAAAAAACATATGTTGAAAACACATTGTGTTTTTGTGCAAAATTAAACGTACTGTGTGACAGTTTTTACATATAATAAAGTTACGTTTACATATTTGATCGGGCTGATTATTTTGTTTACATATTAGAAAAAAAATAGCAGCGTCGAAGCCAGCTATAACAACAGGTCATGTTATGCAATTTTGTAATGATTTGCATTGTTCAAACCCTTAGAAATGTAAGGAGCGAAAAGTCGCTCTTCACATTAGGCTGCCTAGATTATCTGATTTGGGAAGACATTGGCCTCGAAATGGCGGATATCGACCTCTCGTGAGAAATGCTAATTAAATCAATCAGTTAAATGCCCGAAACGTATTAAATTAAGACACTCTGACGTTTCAAGAGAGTTCGGTAGGCCTACTCCCCAATAAGTCGGAACTTATTGGAATTTAAAAACCAAAACCAGCCTATAATTGATCTCTATGTTTAAACGCAACTTAAATGTAATATACATGTTGTGCAGAATTCTAGTGCATTTGCAGTTTGCGTTTATGCTTGATATTATAGTAAATATCTAGGTGTTATGTGCGTCAGCTATATTTTACAGCATATTTTACAATAAAAAATACAGAACGTATATAATAAAGGTCAGAAAATATCCACAATCCAGTGTTTTTGAAAGAAGGTCAACATTTCAAACAACCTAGATCAGTCTGGTCCAAAATCTCCAAATGACTCAATGGGCGTTGGCATTCATATTAATTTAAAGTTACTACCAGAGCTCGAGTAGCGAACAGTAACAGGTATGATATTAAACCTGGTTGCTGTCATTAAATCTAGAATATATTTCCGTGCCCTGTTTGATAATGAAAGTATTGTAAATATTTCTGACCTGTGCATGCGCCTTGCTCCAAAATAAAGAAGCAAAATATTTTACCTTAATGATATAGCAACTACAATATGTTGTTAGTATAATAATTATACTAATAACTACAGATTATTCGGTATAAGTAATTTTAAATATCCTTGCTATACCAAGGAAACAATCTTGAATGTATGCTTATAAAAACTAATTATGAACGTTATAAACGTTTGATATTTAAAAACGTTAGTTTAACACAAGGAAAGAATACACAAGCGCTTTTTTTGTTTTCTTGTAATAAGTTAAAAATATCCTTCTTTTGAAATGTGAGCGCAATGCTCGGTCTCGTCGCCGCAATTTATTCAAACATGCTAATAAAGACGTCGTCGTTGTGGCCTGTATACATGCAGTAATTAGAACTAGAGGTGTACAAATCCGATCGGATTCGTGCGGATTTCGGAACAAAAATATCCATTTCCGATTGGATCGGATTGATAAAGTTGTTTCGTAGTCGGATCGGACTTCTATGAATTAATTATCCACGGCAACGCGGTTGACGCTGCATTATTCGTTTGATACTTCAATTGGACGTCATGCACTTTGTCAGCTTCTTGACATGCATTTCTTGTTTTTATATTTATTTAATTTGGTTAAATATTTCCACTTGAATGAAACATTTATGTTATTAAAAGATTCTTCGGATCGATCGGATCGGAATTCTTTATCAAAACTCGGATCGGATTCGGATTAGACAATTTCGGATCGGATTTTAAACATTAGCCAATTGTCGAATTATAAACGTCCAATCCGATCCGATGTACACCTCTAATTAGAACAGTTATGCATGAAGTCGTCAGCTCTGACTTAAAATTAATAATAAGCCGATGCAATAGTTACACACGCACTCACAACGTTTGGTCAACTCGCGCTTATCCAGAGTGAGGATAATTTGTTAAAATATTTTTGCGATTGTGTATTCTGTACTTAATGTCAAAACAGAGGTTTAGATTTGAATTTCACTATTGGTATATACTTTCCATATCGGTTCAAAGGGTACACAATCCTCAAGGCTAGTTCAATAGCGTTGCAAGATATCTTAAGTTAAGGGGGACACTGAAATTTGACGAAAAACTGTACAGCACTGAAAAGTGTTGCAAAAAATATGTTGACCATATCGTTGCATTTCGCCTTTTTGCGTAATAATAAGTGAATATTAATTATCATTTATTTAACTACGTAATCACGATTGCGTTTCAACTTCAGCAAAAAACTGCTGGATTCAATTTTCAATTTTCATTGTGATTTTTCAAATCTAAACCTCTTATATAATCTAAATATTTCTAACCATCCTAAATATTAGTTGGTTTTTACTTACGGGGTTATGCGTCTGCCAAAATATCAGCTACTTGAAGTTGATTACATGGAAATTACTGTTACCTTTCTTGTTTCTTTATAATTGATACCTTTGCAAGTACCAAGACTGCGGATCTTGATGGCGGAAATCGGGTCTTTGCACCGTTGGCGTGTTCACGTAGGGTGTTTGCATACCTTGAGGTTGTTTGTTCATATATGAAGGATCGTATAGGTAAGCCATCGGCTAAACATTGAGATTATGATATAAGGATGACGATGAATAAAATGCTCATACAAGGGACAATATACTGGTGTGAATATTTAACACGCAGTTATTCTACGAACTCGAGTCGAATATGAGCCGATAGCCGATGAGGCGCGTAACGCCGAATCGGCTATCGCTCATATTCGACGAGAGTGAGTGGAATAACTGTTTTATTATATACACAAGGTCTGAATTCACAGACTTTGCTTTTCGGATATTTTCAATATTTTTTTATGTTTTTATCTTCGCTCTTTCGGCCGATTATTTTTTCAAAAATATATATTTTTAACCATTTTAAATTTTGAAAATTCATTTGCTAACCTGTAAACAATTTGTGGGAGATTTTTTATTGTGTTTTTAATCCTGTAAAGGCTATATAAAGCGAACAACTTGCCGTTTTCTCGTTCGCAAAAATCGGAAATTCAGTTTGACCGCCATTTTGTTTTTCTCTACTAGTAGGATATGAGCTAATATCCTGCTAGTAGAGAACCAGAATACCTCATATCCAGACCTTGTATATATAATAAAATGGAGATATACGGGGTGTATCAAAACGAAGACAATTTTAAAATGGACAGAAATCGGAAGCCTCTAAGCTACCCATGATTTCCACCGAATTTTCAGTTCAGTTGTCGCGTGTTACAATCGTCTCTGTTAGTAAAATGGTAGCATGCAGTTGTAGATATGATGGTAGTCATAATCATTATGAAAAAATAGTATTGGTAACTTTAATGATAGATGAACTGTTAGAGTGATTTAATGGTTTGCATGCAAATCATGGTAGTGATGATGGTAATAGAATTTGCAATAGTAATGATAATTTAATTGTTATGATAATGATAATTGTAAGAAATATATAGCAATGATTATGATAATATGACGGAATAATGGTGACAGCAATATAATGGTAATTTTTATGACAATATGCATGAAATTTTATTCATATATGAGTCACACATGTACAGCCATATTAGAGGAAGATGTATTAGAGTTAGTGTCTGTCTTGGACAGATGTCTGTATTAGAAAGGTGTCCATATTAGAGAGTGGTCAGTAGTAGAGAAGTGTCTGTACGTATTAGAGAGCAGTTGCCGTACTAGAGAGATTTCTGTATTAGAGAGGTGTCTGTATTAGAGAGTGTCCAAATTAGAGAGGTGTGTGTATTACTGAAGCGTCCGTAAAGAGAGATTCGGCTGTAGTATTTTCTAAGAGTTACCGGCATCTCAGATGGTGTCGTAGGACATGCGGCAAGTCGATTTCTAGCTGAAGCATTCTGCAAATCACTCTCTCTGATCATATCCTGCAAGTTCTTAATGTACAAGATCGCCTTCCGTAATATCTGGAGCTTCGGTAACTTTCTGTTGCGTGGTTGGATCATCAGACGTTTTCGTAGCTCACAGAATCCTTCACTGATCTGACGGACGCGTCGACGCTCTCGTTCATTGCGTCTCGAAATTGTTTCTTTGCCTCGCCGACCTGTGAAATAAAAGCATGATATATATAATGCCGAACTGGACGATGCAGCGGTCTCCATTTCAGCTCAAAGGATGAGCGCAAAGGAATAGACCTTTCCCCATTTGAGTGAAATTTTGGTCTAGACAAGTCTGGACAAAAATTTCATCACAGCTTGAAAGAGCATCACAAAATTAGTAATATTCCAAAGTTTCGTTGCGAAATGTTGTAAAATGCGGATAATATAGCCTTGCGAAGCCGGTTTGCCGTTTTTCAGTCATTTTGTATTACAAATGGGAAATTGATAATCAGTTTGATCATCTGATTATCAATTTCCCATTTGTAATCTAAATGACTGAAAAACGGCAAACTTCGCAAGGCTATATTATCTGCATTTTACAACATTTCGCAACGAAACTTCGGAATATTACTAATTGTGTGATGCTCTTTCAAGCTGTGATGAAATTTTTGTCCATGCAGGCATATCTAGATCAAAATTTCACTCATAAGGGGAAAGGTCTATTGGATTACTCTAATGCTTGATTTTCAGCATTTTCAGACACAATTGTTTTATATAGTTCATGCGCTAGACAAAAATTTGGTCATGGAAATACTAAAATGTTTTTATAACAAGTCATTCTTCTCTTGGATGCGGGCATATGGGGGCATAGTTCACTGGAGGGACCAAAATAGTGGATGGAGGAGACCTTCCCTCATGGTATACAAACTATACATGAAAGACACCCTGAAATAACCTCGAAAAGCTAAGTTCAGGAAAAACAATGTGATGTCTGCTATAACATTGACTTTACTATAACATTGACTTGACTGCTATAACATTGACGTCGCAACAAGCTTTCGGAGTTTCGCGTTTGTCGAAAGACGTGAAAATACTTCGTTTAACGTCGTGCTCAGAAGGATCTGTTGCATCAACGCTGATATCAATGGGATCACATGTTATTCATAGTTTTTGTTTTGCATGAAAAATTTCTTAAGTGTTTTGTAGGCGTGTCGTTGCGTTGTCGCGTCGTAGCTCTTAAGCTCTCTAGTTGTCGCGTCGTAGTTCTTAAAATCTCACAAGGCTTGAATAAATTGATCGAATGAACTCCCGTTAGTAACCGCGAGAAATGCCAAACTGCTGAGCAAGAAATTATTTTACTTGTAAGCAAGAAGCCGAGAACACCTCTCAAGGTGGTATAGTTTAGATCGACAATTACGCCTGCATGTATTCTAAAACGGCTCACTCACACTCAAATAGTGGAGGTTCAATCTGAGCTTCCCTTCAGCGTCAGTGCTATTTTTGAATAGCTGGAGGGCTAGTCTCGTACCTTACTATCTGACTACTCACCTGACCCTCCAGCTATTCAAAAACAGCACTGACACTCAAGGGAAGCTCAGAAGCTCTTTGAATGAGTGTGAGTGAGCTTTTGGAATACAGGCGTTAGTCCGATACGGCTCCGAATCGATTTCAGCTCAGTGCAGTGAAGCCGTGAAGGCCTCTTATAGGTATACATATATATAGAACTGGCCTAGGTCTATAGGACCTGAGTATTCAGTGTTCATTATGCTGACCAGAAATCACAGTCTGAAATTTCCTCCCTGTTGACTGGGCTGAAAATCGTCATGTAACTCGACTGGAAATTTCAACCGGGTTCAAAAAAACAATTAATTCTCTAAATGCAATCAGAGTCTCGCTCACACCAAATAATGGACATACACAGCATTTTAAATTCTTCAAAGAAGTGGAATAGCAGTTAAGACTAGATCATCCTGGGCTGAGATTCCATCCCGGATTTAATTGGAATTTTAACTCAGTCTGCATGGGCTGAAGCTTGCCAGGTAATCGTGCAACAATTATATCTCGGTTAACCCGGTTGAAATTCAGCCCAGGCTGAAAACTCTTCGTATAATCAACCCTTTATAGATCGGTTCAGAATTAGTGACATTTAAATAAGGTGGTGGAAAGGTTATCTTTATAAATAATGACGCAAATTAACATGTAATGCCCCCCGTTTCAATGTTTCTTCATTTCCTGGGAGAGTTATCGATAACACAACTGCAAAACCAAATCACTTCAGATAAAAGATCAATTTTAGTCTCACAGCATTGAACAGGGGAGAAGGGCAGTCATACTACCGTTTCCAGCGCAGTGGGCCCTCGAATTTTGTCACTATGATTGATTGTACTAGATCAGTCCCAGAGTGTGTGACTACAATACTAGCTGCATTACGTTCGCACTCAGAAGAATATTTCAGAAGATGAGAGCTGGTTAGATTACCAGTCAAACGATCAAAAATTCTTATCAAAATTTGAACCAGTTCAATGCTGACGAATTGTTGATGAGAGTGCATATAGGAGTCGATGAGACTTCGTTTGACCGACGCTTTAGGTCAGCCGAGCTTCCCTCGAGTGTCAGTGCTGTTTTTTTATATATAGCTGGAGGGTTAGTCTCGTACCTTGCTATGTGACTATACTCACCCTCCAGCTATTCAAAAACAGCACTGACACTCACGGAAGCTCAAATTGGACCTCCATTCTTTGAGTGAGTAAGATTTTAGAATACAGGCGTTCGCCTCGCATCAATACATTACCTCGTTTATATCTGCAAGTCGACGCCTCGTGCTGGCTCACTTCGTCGTCAACATCCTCTGAAGAAATTCCAGCCGCCGTGTCTTCATTTTGCTCCCAAAATTTAACTGAATGTTTGAGCTCTGTCGGGGAACTAAGAGGGCTTTCGGAGTCATCTGTAAGATATGTCGGCGACGAGGTGTTTGAACCGTGTTCTGAATTAGAATAGCAATTCTCGCCACCAGAAGACCTGTCGCTTTCGACGCCATATTCAAAATGTTGCAAAGTGAGCATTCCTAGCCGGTCGATATCGAAATTCGACTCGGGCATTTTGTAAAAACGCTTGAAATTTCCGCAAGACTCTGAGATCTGGTCTACATATGTACGCTGTGTGTTGTGTATAAAGCGAGATTGCTCGCCTGTTTCGCTCGGCTCGGTTTTGATTTTGGACACCTAATGGGATTTAATTAAATATGGCGGTATCATGCCACGTTTTACAAAGGCAATGCAACACGCGACAGGGCTCCTTTGCCGTTTTGCATGTACTTGCGGCATTGTACTTAGCTTTAAATAATAGACAGTTATATTGGACTGGGCCATATACCATAAATTACTATACAGTCCACAGACGTTATATAATTTATGGGTTTCTGTAGGCTTTTTGGGAGGGAGTAAACGGTTGGAATAAAACATATCCATTTTTTGCCTCCAAATACGAGACCCGCCCACTGAGATGAAATCTTTAATACTTCATCTACCAAGGAGCCTCCTTTGACAAGTAAAATCGCAGGCTCGTGTATAGGATCGCGATAAGCAACAGCAACTACAGGTCTGAAAAAGCCGGTTACAGACGAGCAAGTAGTTTATTTGTCAGCTGAACGCTTATACGTACAACAAATGTTCTATGTGACAAGTTTTTGGTTTTTACTTGAGAGCTACGATAGCTATTGTTATTGCATCACAACAATAGACGCTGACCAACCCCATGCAAGTGTTCAGATTCCAAATATTCTTTGTTGACCCATGCAGACGAACACAAGATTTGTGGCTTTGCCAAATCGGTTTCTATATGACAAGGTGCGTTTGTTCAAAAGCTAACATACTAGCAAGCATACTAGCTTCGGAACAAGTGTTCTTGCCATAGTAAAAATTGGCGAAGTATCCCTGCAAAAAAATGACCGACAAATTGTTTTAGATCTGTATCCAATATTAACGAATTGACAATGTCGCATGTATAGACAAGGTGGGCAGATTATCCATGCACTATATATAGGTCAGTGTTACACATTTGAAGCTGTCAAAACAATGATGAATAGGAAAAAGTGGACACGCAGCGCAATTTCTATACAAGTGTAGGCAACAGTCATGCAGATTACCACTTATAAGCGCATTGATATAGCTTTGAAAATCTGTTCACTGAAAGCCGACTGTAGCCTAGTGTATGCTATCAAAAAAGATGTACCCTTGCAAATGTTAATCAGATGTATAGTTTGGTTTTAAAAAGGCGTTCCAAAGTCGAAAATTTCAACATTTCGTGTTAACATTGTGTTTAATAATGCCAATATATGTGCAAATTAAGATATTGAATATGCAAATTCGCATGTTGGCGGGAAAGCCAAAGTTAGTTAGCAGGGGGCGAATTGCTTACAGCATACAACAGATTTAATGTAGGGGCGTTCATTATTTATGCCTCATAGTGGCATTGAAGATAAGTACGATTGATAGTGCTTATGCATGAGCACACCTCATATTTTGGTATCTCATGAGCACTCACACACATGTACAAAATCCAGTATATGCTTATGAGGACGTATATATAACAAACTGATCTAGCTAATAATATGGTCAATATGCTCGTGAGCATTCTCATGAGCTAGAGGGTGCTCATCAGCATAATTATAAGCATACGTATTTGAACGTTTTTTACCGTTTTGATTTCATCCTTATATTAATATTTTAAACTGCTTATTTCGAACGTATATTTTATTGGTTAAAGAAACCATTTATTACTTTTTCTAACTCAAAATAATATGTCTACTATCAGAATAAAATATACATTTCAAACTTTCACAAAAATTATCGAGTACCTTATTTTTCTTTCAAGACTCAGCATAAAATCAAAGCGTCTGCATGTTTATAGAACCAAAATGCGTTTCCCCTTAACGTTTCACATGTCATTCAACGAATCGGAGAAAATGGCCGCATAGATTAACAGAAGGTACAGAAAGAATAATCTCAATTCAACAAAATTTGAAATAGCGGTTTACTGCATGAACGTCGGAGTTAAATGTTCATTAGGAACACGACTTTCTTGAGCAATAGTTTGGCAATGAATTACTGGTCCCATTTTTCTTGCCGAGAGAAGTCCTGAATCCGAAAATCTCGATAAGTTAATCAAGAAAAGCTACTCGCGAACTTAATTTGAAATCAACAAAATGCAAAGAAGCAGTTTACCGTTTGCCGGTTGTCGGAGTTAAGGGTTGATAGTTTGTGGCATCATCTTGCCTGTCCAGCTCATTTAATTCTGCATAAAATGCTGGTGATGGTGATGAACCTGGTTTTGTTTTTGCTGGTAGTGGTGGTCGTGCTTTTGGTGGCAATTGAGGTGATATTAGTGATTTTGATCTTACCATCTTTGGCGATTTTACTGATGATAATTTTACTGGTAGAGTTGGGGGTGGTGAACTGGTGGCAGCCATCAATGGTCTAACAGATGCTGATTTTTGTGATCGTCTATTCGATGGCAGTGCCGGTGGTTCTGAATTAGTAGAAGCCTTCGTCGGTCTGGCAAATGGTGAATTTTGTGGTGTTTTTGATGGTAGAGCTGTCGGCACTAAACTGGTAGATGGTGCTTTCTGTGATGGTGTTCTTGAAGGCAGCGCTGGTGGTGATGAACTCGATGGTGGAATAGTCGATGGTGGAATAGTCGATGGTGGAATTAACGACTTGTCTCCACTTGTCATGTCTAGGTAGCCCGATTCACGATTTACCTCTACATTACGCGAACTTGGTGATAGTTGTGGTGGATTGAATCCTTCATTTTCTAGGAATTCCGCATCTATTTCTGGTACCTGGTAGCCTGCTTCACGATCTGAATCAACATGACTCAAACTTGGTGTCGGTTGTGGTCGATTGAATCCTTCATTTTCTAGGAATTCCGCATCTATTTCTGGTACCTCGTAGTCTGCTTCACGATTCGACTTTTCATTAATACCCGAGTTTGGTGATGGTAGTTGAAATTTTACTGCTGTTGGTAGATTTTGTCCTGACGATGGTTTGGTAATGGATGAAGCCGTTTCGTCTTCCCGATTCTGCTCACCACCTTCTAAAAATGTAATATCTGTATCCAGTGGTGGTGATGATGGTGCCAGTTCTGGTGATGGTGGTGCCGACTTCGGAGTTGGTGGTACAAGATATTTTGTTTGTAGCGCATGTTGTGATGGTGTTTGGTAGTTTGTTGGTGCTTTCCATTTTTTGATTGGTGGTGTTTTATACCGTTCTGATGGTGGTGGTGAAGACTTAGGATTTCGGGGTGGTTTTGATGGTGTGAACTTTGGTTGTTGGTAATCCACTCCATACTCGTTGCAAGTATGTTCAAGGTTTGGTGTGGGATGTTGGTAATCCGATGGTGTACTGGTTTCACTGTGTTGATTGACTTGGTTGGCAATTCGTGAACGTTCTTTTGAAACTACAGGTGGATTGGGTTGACTGTAGGCATGTCCAGATATTTTTCTGGGCTGTTGGTAACCAGATGTACCACTGCATTCGCCATATTGGTTGGTATCATCATTTTCATCCGATCCTGAATGACCATCATTTTTGTCCTCTGCCGTACCACAGTTACTGTAGATAGGTTCCATTTCAATTCCAGGGTGCTGGTAGTTTGTACTGGGTTCACCATGATGAGTGATGTCAACCACTAGATTGGTTTTGGAGGCCATCGAGTCAGACCTATTTGGGACGAAAGGTGACAAATGTGGTTAGCACGTGCTACTGTAGGTGAAGGGTGGGTATTACTTAGGATGAATAACCAGGCCTTGCAATTGGCGTCGGCAAACGTGGACTCCTGATGGTCATGGCGGGACGGCGAAAATTGAGTTTGCATGAGGATTTGTGATGATCCTCCCTCGACATCTACCAATCTTATAGATACGTTATAGATACGGTTGTATTACTATATACGTAGAGTCGTTTCAAGAAAGTTTCTGAGTTTTGAAAAATGCGCAATTCAGGACTCAGAGTAAGGATGACTAACGCCGTATTCTAAAACCTCACTCATACTCAATGAATGGACGTTCCATCTGAGTTTCTCTTGAGTGTCACGGCTGGTACTGATGACACTCGAGAGAAGCTCAGATTGAACTTCCACTCAATGAGTGTGAGTGAGCTTTTAGAACACGGGCAAAACGCCTGTATTCTAAAAGCTCACTCACGGCGGCTCTCACACTCTGAAAGAGTTGAGGTTCAATTTGAGCATTCCCCGTGTGTCAATGCTGTTTTTGGGTGAAGGAGGGTGAGTAGTCGCATTGTAAGGGTACGACACTAACAATCCAGCTATTTAAAAACAACACTATACACTCAAGGGAAGCTCAGATTTAACCTCCAATCTTTGAGTGTGAGCGTGAGTGAGTTCTTAGAATACAAGCGTAACACCCCCCCCCCCCCCCCCCTACATGCCATTTACCTAAATGTCTGTTCAAAACTTCCAACTGTTTCAAAATCACCCTCTGAAGTCTCTGAACCGGCACCCGGTACCTCTTCGTAAAACTGTTCAAGATCGCCTTGACTTTGTGTCGCAAGCGTCTCCTGTGATTCAGTCGTGGGGGCGCGAGGCTTCACTCCGCCACAGTGCCGGCAATAGTACTTTAATGAAACCGCAATAATGGCTGAGAGGATTAGACCACTGACAAACGACGTTACAATGACGTACCAATCACGACGGTAGTCCACACATTTGCATTTTCCTGTACGATAAAACAATGTTGTTAGATTGTTAGCAAACATTTATTTATAAATCTGGTCCATCACCGTCACGTGCGTATTGTATTTTGCCCAACTAACCAGTATAGCAATGCTTTAAGAAAGTCACCGATCCGTGACTCGAACGGTAGGGCGGTAGGTAAATTGGAAATTGCTATTGGTGGATTTGGCAAAAATACAATACACACGTGACGGTGAAGGACCGTATTTATGAATAAACGTTGACTATCATAGATAATAGTTGTATTATTATTCAATGATTTTACGATTCTTCCCAATTAATGCTGCGTTATATACGTACAAAGTTTTCTGTGGCTATCGTAATGCTTACCTTCGGCCTCGACTAGACAAGTCGATAGTATAAGGAAAGGGATGCTTGGAGATACACGAGCCATAGACATCTGAAACGCAAGTAAAAAAATATAATATGCGTTTTTCAGGGAATACTGCAAATAACACCCAATTTAATTTGGTCTGTGTTTAATTTAAAGCTGGGAAAAAATACATGGTAAAGTTCCTGAATGTTGCTTTTTCAAATGTGTCTCATGGGAATACTGGATTTTTGGTGAAATAGGGGGGTGCTCATTAGCATATTGGATAGCTTTGGTACATATATGAGCGTGCTTAGGCGTAAAAAAAAAATACCTGTGGTTCCGGTTCCCGACCGACCCTATTTTTTTCTGCCGACCCTATTATTTTTTCGACGCGATTGACCGTGCGACCCTATTTTCTCCAGGTGGTTGCGGGCTGCTCATACAGCGGGCCAAAATGGCGTCTGTTGTCTCACTAATTATTGAACCAAATTGCCTAAATTCGTCCATAGGAAATACGCATCTCTAGTTAGTATTGATGTTGGGACTCTACTGCAAATCGCCCAGCAAAAAACCGCCAAAACCATGAAAAAAATATTCAAAAAAAAAAATTATTTCCGACCGACCCTAATTTTTTCACGATATGAAACCGGAACCACAGGTATTTTTTTTTACGCCTTATGAGCATACCCTAATTTTGGTAGCTGATGAGCACGAATATAAATACCAAAATCCAGTAATATGCTCATGAGCATTCTCATTTCGCTACTGAATTTTGGTCAGTACAGCTATTTGAATTAAGGTATTATTATTATTTCATAGCGATTCCCAGCAGCCTTTCGCGCTCGTATTCGACTTTTCCCGCGCTTTGCTAGTGGACAACCTTAATTGAAATAGCTGTACATATGAGGGTGCCTATTGGGCATACTGGAACTTTCAAGTAAGTTTAACGTTTGTTCAGCGAGGTTTGAAAAATAAACAGCATGCAGCATGCCATATTAAGTTAATTGGACGATTTCAATAAAACAGCTAAAACATGCAGTCAATTTATAGTCCAAAGCCAAGCTCTAGTCAAATAAAGTTTGTCATTGTTCATTTACAATTCCCGCTTTTTCTACTTTTTCTAGCGTCCAAATTTGTAGTATACATAATTAGTCACTGGCATTTACAGAGACCGAGGGAAACAGCGTGTTTTGTGTGACCCCGAGACCGCCGTTGTTGCCCGAGGCGAAGTGTTTTATTATACAGCAAGTGTCAAACTCTCAATAATTCACCTGGTATTCCGAAACTGTAATAAAACCTGCTAAAAACAAGCTGAAAATCTTTGCTTTACGGTTGGTTGACGAAAAAAACTCGCGCCTCACTTCCGGTTTTATTTATTATTGACCGGTCAATAAAATGTTTCATCGTTGCCCTGGTTGCCCCCTCGCGGGCCAAAGCATGCAGAGAACACGACGTTTAAACAAAGCCAGCAGGAACACGAGAAAAACAAAGTAACACTAGTCTCCCATTATTAACGACTGTTTTTAGTCTTTTTAGTCTGGCGTCCGCGTCTCAGATTTGGTTTCCCGAGACGAAATCGAGTCGAGAAATATGGAGGTCTGTGTCAGAATATGCGCGGATAGGATGCGCACACGTCTCGCGCGAAGGCAGATGACATTTGAATCTTTGTTTACAAATTGTATCAAAGTATTTATTATTACGAGAAAAATCACAATTGTATGCATTAAATAGATGCCTTGAACGATGTCTTTGGATATAAATGCATGTCTGAAAGCATTCTCCCTCGCGTTTGGCCAATACAGTGGACATCCCAATGAACAGACGCTCAAGTATGTCGAAAGACAGATGGACGTAAGTGTCGCCTAATCTTCTATAAAAATTTGACCGTTGCAAGCTTTAAATTATGATATAAATAATAAATAAATTACAGTAAATCTCGAACATTTAATGGCAGTGTAGGCTGAAAAATATAAGCCGAAATTCGAGGTTTCGACGAAGGGCCTTCAATCGAAACGTTGAAGTCAGCTTATATTTTTCAGTGATCAAATAATCCAAGTGCATGTGCACATATTATAAATAGTGTTTCTAGATTGTGTCTATAGATTTTGTCTATAGATTCTGTATGTATATAGATTATAGTGTCTCTCTCTTGAATGAGATATATCATAATTTCCTGACAGCACGCAAGCAGAAAACTCATACTGTATATGATATATTGATATATCTCACTCGAGAACATTTTTCTCGTTATCATATTACCAAGTGAACAATAACACAATATATATATTTTTATATATATATATATATATATATATATATATATATATATATATATATATATATATATATATATATATATATATATATATATATAAATATTATATAGTACAGAGTGAGAAATACACAGTGAGATATTTTCCATATCTTCACTAGTGAAGATATCGATCACATGACATTTAGTATTTATACATTTTTTTGCTTGGGACTATTTAATAAACAGAATATTACACAGTGGATTGAAGATATGACTTTTATCTTGTCATGTTAAAAACATTATTTTACTCAGTCGCTGCGCTCGTTCGTAAAATATTGTTTTCACCACTCAAAGATTAAAGTCATATCTTCATGCCGCCGTGTAATATCCTATGTACTATTTAAAACACGAGAAGGAGTGTTTTATCATTTTTAAATATGATAAAATGCAAGTTCGAGTGTTTTGAATAGCTTAAAATATGACTACAAAAGAATACTAATTAGGATGAACAATTATATAATCATACTAATTAGGATGAAGAATTATATAAAGAATACTAATGAAGATGAGTTTTATCAGATATAAAGTCACTCCTGTGACATATATTATGGCTGACATGATTTGTCACAAGGTTTATGAATTTTTAATGAGTATTTTAAATAATTATATATATATGAGTATTATATTGATATTCTGGTAACCCCTCGCTAGGCATGATCCCCGACACCACAGCTGTTTGATACTGCAGTTAAAACCTGTATTAAATAATTTAGGCAATGGAGCATGGAAAATATGGTACGGTACAAAAATAGAATACCCAGCCATTTAAACATACAATCATTATTATGTCACTACCTGGCTACATCATATGCCTACATAATAAGTTTTTGTAATTTATATATAGGCAGGTCAGGATTTGGATTGGGTCGGGCATTAAATAATTTGCAATTTATCTTGTTTACTATAATTTTAGAACATGAATTGTCCAAGGCTGTGGTAAAAGGGTTGCAGGTTAAGCTTACAGGGTTCAAACGGTTTGACTAACTTACAGGCGTTCGTCGTGGGGGTTAAGGTGAATGTTAGGGTTTTAGTAAGAAATGACGACACCAGATGCCGGATGACATCACCAGCAACGAACACCCGTGAATTCGTCAAACCTGGCATCAAAACTTGCATCAAGCCAATTGGTAGCTTGTCACCACAAAGCGTAGTACTATCCGAGTTTATTTGAGATCTGTGTCATATAATTAACCTTTTAAGTGGCAATGTGCCGCCCTGATGTAGGCTACTTTATTATTTTACTCTGTCTGATGCCAGATGATTTTACTCGTCAAGAGAGCACTAGCTGCCACTCAGTGGGTTAATCAGACTATGTGCCCATGTGTCTAGGTAACCTTTGGGTGGCAATATGCCGTGATTTTACTCTGTCTACATATAAGCCAGACAACTTCACTCGTCACAAGAGTGTTGCTACTCATTGGGTTAATCAGACCATGTGATGTGTCCATAATTGCGCCATAATGCACCACCCTGCTTTATTATTTTAATAACAAAAATAACTACCCTGCTTTATTATTTTCTAACGCCGAACAATTTTACTTGTCAAGGGGAGAGTGCTGGCGCTCAGTTGGAACTTGCAGCAATATTTCATAGCAAGTACTGTAGCTGTTATATAAAAATCACTGCAACCTATCACTAAAAAATGTGGTTAGGCTGTTTTGCTGGTTTTCACTAGTGTATCCTGGATTCAAATTCCTTAATTCTCCCTTCCTATTTGGGAAGGAAGGTAGTTAGTGTATAAACATTTCAGGTTGTTTCAAGAAAACAAATGTAATAAATACACGCAGTTTTCTGTTCGCACTGCGAATTTCGTCAAGCAAACTGATAAATTAAAATAATAAGACAGTACAACAAAATTCTTCAGCAACTAACATATAAACACACCTACATTTATATTATAATATTTGAATATCCTGCAAGGTAGGCATTACCAAAACAAATACAAATTCGAGGTAAATTTTTGAAGTCAAATTAACAGCCGTAATCAAAAGCAATAATAGATTAACACAATGCGATTTAACAACAGCAGAACATGTGGCTAAAATCCCATATTTCCCGCTATATTTTTCCTTGGGTTGTGCCCCCAGGACGGGGCGTTGATACCCACAGGCAAAACAAGGTAAGTTCCTACATCGTAAGTTCATGTTTGAATACACAAAACCGTACCAAAACTCTGTCCCATTACTAATAAAACCTACCATGTTTAAACTTACATTGGTATTCTTTTAGCTTCGTATTTTCCGGCAAGGATTTCGCTGACCTCACCTTGTTCGCCTTATATTGATTGACACGGCATTACCGAAAGGGGTGTGTCTTTTGTTAGCAAAGATACTTCACTATTTCCGGTTATAAAAAAGTGGAAATTTAACTTCATGTCATTTTGGTCTGAAAAACAGAAATCAAACTTGTGGTTATATTATGTGTGGTTATATTTGACCGCAAAGATACTGCACAGTATTTCAAAGTTTGAGCTGTTCCAATTTTTAACTTTGAGCTGTTCCAATTTTGAGCTGTTCCAATTTTGATGAGTTTTTAGTCGATTGACCGATGGTGTTGTGAACAAAATTAGGGAGATTACAAGACTTACACTGATTCCTGATTTCTCTACATGCAACACGAGCTGACACAACTATACATGTATATTACTATGAGCGAAGTAGTAACCTCCGCCATATAGTACAATTATGCAAGAACCTTTCTTCCGCTCAGAATTGGGCTTCCTTTTTTGATTTTTCAGATTTGGGCTTCCTTTTGGGCTTCAGATTTTTGCTTCCTCAGATTTGGGCTGGCCAGGCCTGAAACTACACACATCATACTTCTCTATTAAGTGACATTTTAGATCATTTGTTTCCATCAATTATTCAGTTTTATTATTTAAAGTATAGTGCTTATAGAGATTTCGAGCACTGATAAAACTGATAATCTCACATGTTGACATGTGAGATTATTTATGTTAATTTCACATGTGAAAATTATCGCTTTTCAATTATCGCTTTTCTGTACAAATGGTCTCGTCTCGTGTTGATCATGACATGAGATTTTCAATTATCGCTTTTCTGTACAAATTATCTCGTGTTGAACATGATATCTCACTCGTTCGCTGCGCTCACTCGTGAGATCATCATGTTCAACACTCGAAATAAATCTGGTATTTCCGCGCACCCATGTATTATTCTCTATTTATTAGCTGTTACTATAGTGCTCGAAGCGTCTAAGCTAGCTTTTTAAAGAACAACAAAAATTAATTAAACAGGTGCAAGACACACTCTCAACACTTTGTAGCTGCAGGTAAAACACAAACAATGAGGGAGATTTCATCAAACCAACTTCATACGCGAGGGAAATTTTTAAGATCTCCAAATGTGGGAGTATCCCGTCAAATTGGAGAGTTGGTATAGATCTAAGTATTAAGTTGCAACTACTATCACTGGGAACAGGGACGCCGGAACGATGTGAAGGCAAGGTGGGCAGATTTTCGTGAAAGGGCACTTTTGAATTGATATATACTAAGAGATGTTTGCAAAACATCGGAAGTTGAGCTTCGCCTAAGCATGTTTTCCATTTATTGGATGATAGGGGTGTGAGGGGGTTCTCCACCAGGCGATTGTGCTATTCTTGAAGCTCGAATGACTGCATTTCTTGCGTTTTCTGAAGCAAATTCGCAAAAGAATCGCACTAACATTTCTGACAATTCGCTATTTCGCCAAGGCAATCCTTTAAATTGAAAGGGCACCTTTGCCCCCCTTGCCCCTCCTGGTAAAGAGCAACGGGGGCGGCTGCCCCTCCTGCCCCCCCCCCCAGTTCCGGCGTCCCTGACTGGGAAAAAATGTGAAATCCATAGTATAATCTGGTTTCTAGAAGGTTCCTAGCCCTTTGTAAACAGTTTCTATTTTATGATTTATTTGTATATATATTAATGTCATTTGGGCGAATAAAAAAAAATCTCGATAAAGTATATCCATACTACAATATTTCGATACTATATCCACTCCATAGTATGGGAATATACAATTATTATGGATAATCAAAATCCATTCTATTTCCAATAAAGGTCCATACAATTTCCATTCTATGGCCTTCTATGGATTTTCAAAATGTTTTTAGTGTATTGTTCTCGTTTGCCAAGGGGATGAGAACTGAGAAAACTCGCATATAATCTCTCGCTTCTAAACTCTCATTTTGGGAAATCCAGCAAGAAATGGAAAACCCAGGAATTTCGTGGTCTAACTTATTATCAGGGGCGTAGGAACTGATGGGGCCAAGACCAAGAGCCAGGCCTGAAAATTTTAAAGCCGAGCTGTGCTGTGCAACACACATCATACTTCTCTATTAAGTGACATGTTTAGATAATTTCACTAAAATCTGTGGTGATGGTGGAGGCCAACTATTAATCCTGCTATTGTATTGTATCGTATCGTATTTTATTGTAATGCATTTCACTGCGTTGCATTGTATTGTATTGTATTGCACTGTACTGTACTGTACTGTACTTAACTAAATATGTTGCATTGCATTACATGGCGGGGGCCAAGCCCCCACCCCCAAGTTTTCAGAAGACACAAAAAGTGCCCTTTCTGCGGTGGCAAAGTGCCCTTTGCCTTTGTTCAATTAATGTTGTTCAGATTGCATTTTTGACTCACGGAAGTTACTTGAGTGCGGGGCAGTTAAACAATGAGAAATTACCAGCCTCGGCTGCCAGCGCACTCTTTGACTGCGAATCGGGCCTTTCAGAACCAGAAATCGGGCTGCAGCACGACAAATGGCTAAATTTGCACGGTGCTCATTTGCAAAAACACCTGCAAACTGCTTTAATTCTTTCTGTCACTTTCATTTGATCTCATCCGTCAGTCGGCCTCAACGGCCTTTGATTTATGATTGCATTTATTTTTCCTTCCCTGACACCAACCGTCGGCAACATTTCCGGAAAAAAATTTTTAGGTGCCCTTTTCATTACAAAAGTGCCCCTCGAAACCGGCGCCCCCCCCCCCAACTTTTTGTTTGATGCTTCCTACGCCCCTGCTTATTATTTGATTCCCTTCAGGTACTTATTGGTATAACATCGAACGACAAATCATTGAGTGGTTTTACAGCAAGAGAATTGCTACCTACAGAATGTTTCACATCTCTTGTTAGTATGTTAAGTGAGATGAATAACAAACCGAGACTGACGAGCAAGTGTTTGTTGTTGCTTTATAGCTTGGGTATGTGTTGTTTAATTAGATTACCACATGGTTAAGGGGCTGTATACGGGATAATTTTGTTGTATTGAAACAAGTCATTAGGACTAAACGAAATTTCAAACGCCGGTAATAAAGGGACTGAAATGATGGCGAGAAGATCTGGTAGTTCAAGAAGATTATATTAATTTTATTAGAGAGGTGTGTGTATTAAGAGGTATCTGTATTAGAGAAGTGTCTGTATTAGAGAAGTGTCTGTATTAGAGAAGTGTCTGTATTAGAGAGGTGTCTATGTTAGAAAGGTGTCCATATTAGAGAGGTGCCTGTTTTAGAAAGGTGTCTGTATTAGAAAGGTGTCTGTATTAGAGAGGTGTCTGTATTAGAAAGGTCTCTGTATTAGAGAGGTATCTGTATTAGAGAGGTGTCTGTATTAGAGAGGTGTCTGTATTAGAGAGTTGTCTGTATTAGAGAGGCATTCTATATTAGAGACGTGTCTACATTCAAACTCGTTACCAGGGCTTTTATTAGGAGGTGTCTGTATTAGAGAGGTGTCTGTATTAGAGAGGTGTCTGTATTAGAGGGGTGTCTATATTAGAGATGGGTGACTGTCTGTATTAGAGAGGTGTCTATATTAGAGATGTGTCTATATTAGAGAGAGTCGACTGTATATTAGAGAGTTTTCTGCATTAGGAAACGTTGGTGTAATTGGGGATGGCTATTATTTACGGGCGTCAGGGGGTTATAAATGGAATGTTGTATTGGTAGCTTTACATTATCTTTCAGCTAGTGACACTGAAACCAGAATAATGCTTCGTGATTCTTACCATCTGACTTCAACATTGACTGGACTGCTCCTTGATCACAATTCTCGTTCATCTTCAAATGAAAGCATTATTTTCCAGGTATGCAACATTGAACTATAAATAAACTGGAAGGCTAACTGCCATGATGAAGGCCTATGATTTGATGAAGCCAAAATAGTTTTTCTGCGTTATGAGCAGAAATACTTGACCCCAAGCGTCGGGCTATATATCAAATTGAAGCTATTGAAAATTGCTATTCGGTGTGGAAATTTCAAGACTTCAGCGAAAAGAAAAATATTTAAAAAATACAAAAACAACTGCAAAACGGCAAATTATCGGTAATTATGTTTGTAGTTTTTCAATATTTCCCTTTAAGCTAAAGTCTTGAAATTTCTACACCAAATAGCGTTTTTCAATAGCTTCAATTTGATATATAGCCCAACGTTCAGTGTCGAGTATTTCTGCTCATAACTCAGAAAAACTAAAATGCACTGGCTTCAATCCCCCCCCCCCTGAGTTAGCCTTCCAGTTTATTTATAGTTCAATGGTATGCAATGTGTGAATGGGTGGATTTACTGAGGATTAGGGAGGGGTTAAACCCCCTAGAGTCTCTCTAAGACTCTAACCCCCTTGTGAAAGTCTTTAATCCTAACGCCTAACCCCTGCTGAAGCTCCCTCTGTGGTGCCGCTTGCACCCCACTAGAAATGTTTCCACCCCTCCTTTTAAAAAAATGAAAATCTGCCCTTGAGTGTGTGTTAATGCCTAACACTTACGTTGTGTTGGATAATTTGATAAATTCTTCTGCGTGTTTTAGTGTTTACAGTTGCTGCAACGTATAACATACGACTGTCGATTTCCAGTGGCATTGTCTCACATTGATGATCTAGTCAAATTTTTAGTTAATGAAATGTAAGTCATGTCTATGTATAAAAAACCGAATATATAGGCGGAAAATTGTTATAACAATACTGTAATGTGTAGAGCGGTGTTCTTATTAGAAGGCGTCCATATTAGAGAGGTTTCTATATTAGAGAGATGTCCGTATTAGAGAGGTGTCTGTATTAGAGAGGTGTCTGTATTAGAGAGGTATCTGTATTAGAGAGGTGTCTGTATTGAGAGGTGTCTGTATTAGAAAGGTGCCTGTATTAGAGAGGTGCTTGTATTAGAGAGGTGTCTGTATTAGAGAGGTGTCTGTATTGAGAGGTGTCTGTATTAGAGAGGTGCCTGTATTAGAGAGGTGCCTGTATTAGAGAGGTGTCTGTATTAGAGAGGTGTCTGTATTAGAGAGGTGTCTGTATTGAGAGGTGTCTGTATTAGAAAGGTGCCTGTATTAGAGAGGTGCCTGTATTAGAGAGGTGTCCACATTTGAGAATTATTAGAAAGGTGTGCCCGTATTAGATAGGTGCCGCTGTAAGTATTAGAGAGTTGTCCATATTGAAAACGTGTGCTTTATTAGAGAGGTGTCTGTATTGGAGAAATGTCTGTATTAGAGAGGTGCGTGTGCTAGAGAGGTGTCCACATTCGAGAGGTTTCCGTATCAGAGATGTTTGACTCGATATAGTTATGTCATATGAGTGTTTATTTTCAGACAAGGTGTCGAATGTGAGTTAACCATGCCTTCATTGGGAATATTGGCCAACCTCTGTCGAAACAATATTGCCGTACAAGCTCAAGTAAAAGCTTTGGTATGTAGTCTGTTACACTGGAAAAAAATAGTGAAATCCATACTATGCATGAATTTGCGATTGCATCACCAAATCCATACTATTTCCATACTATATAATTGCAAAAAGTATGAAAATTGGATTTTCATAATTCACAATATTCAACTAAGATCCATACAGTGTTGTTGTCAGGGACGCCAGAACTGGGGGGGGGGGCAGGAGGGGCAGCCGCCCCCGTTGCCCTTTACCAGGAGGGGCAAGGGGGGGGGGGCAAAGGTGCCCATTCAATTTAAAGGATTGCCTTGGCGAAATAGCGACTTGTCAGAAATGTTAGTGCAATTATTTTACGAATTTGCTTCAGAAAATGCAAGAAATGCAGTCATCGAGCTTCAAGAATAGCACAATCGCCTGGCGGAGAACCCCCTCACATCTCTATCATCCAATCAATAGAAAACATGATTAGGCGAAGTTCAACTCCCGATGTTTTGTAAACATCTCTTAGTATATATCAATTTAAAAGTGCCCTTTCACGAAAATCTGCCCCCCTTGCCTTCACGTCGTTCCGGCGTCCCTGGTTGTTGTATAAGTAGTTTTGGTCATGTTTACATTAAGAACGCTGTACCTGAAAAATACCTAAAGGCTCGTTTACACGGGCGATTTTTGCTGCGATTTTAGTTGCAATTTTCTCCTTTTGGAAGATGTGAAGGAGTGGATTACTTAATAATATCATTATGAGATTTCGTAACCTGGAACATTTATAACTCATTCACTTTTTAACATCCTCCAAAAGGAGAAAATCGCACCTAAAATCGCAGCAAAAATCGCCCGTGTAAACGGGCCTTAACTGAAACCTAAGGTTCACACTAGACACTCACAGATGCCCACAAATTGGACCACCCCACTGCAGTGACTGCACATTAAATTTATTACCAAATTTACTCAAGTAAAGTTTCAAATTTACTCCAATTTTTTAGTAAAGATTTACCAAAAAAATTTGGGTAAATTTGTTCATAAATTTGACTACAGTAATTTTACTTAATATTGTGGGTGAATAGGCAATTCCAGCCTTTAGTTTATGCCTGCAGGGGATGATGGGAAGTAAGGTATCATAGTGCTGATTATGCTGAAAAATTTCAATAAAAACTACCGAAACAACCGAAATATTTCAATATTTATAAGTATAAGCTATCACTCCGTGTTTACACGGCCACCATTTTTATTTTTTCAGCATAATCAGCAATGTGATACCTTACATCCCATCGTCCCCTGCACGCATAAACTAAAAGCCGGAATTGCCTATTATTTTACTCAAGTTTTGCAGCGCGGGAAAACTTTTCACATTTTGCAAGTGTTTTGCCCAAAGGAAGATCTGTGCTTTCGGCTCGTAGTCAAAATACTCGGGATTTTTTTTCAGTGTATTGCACCAGAAATCAAAATTCTGCTGAGTGTTGATAATGGGCGTGGTTATTAAAGAGACGCGGGCTTATCATAGATATCTTATATACACTAGATAGCGCATCTCGTTTAGTAAAATTGAAGCCAAGAATATTCCAGCGGTTACCCCCATTTGAATAGATGGCGGCCATGTTGGTGTTTTCCACTCGCTAATAAACGCTTAAAAAACAACAATAACTTTCATCGTTTGAATAGTTTAAAAATGTATTTGGAATAGGTTTACCTTAATATTTAAGTTCCCTGTTTAAGAAATAGAAAACATACGAATCTTTTCATTTCATGGGAATATCCTGAGTCTGCAATCACAGCTTCAATTTTTGACTTGTAGAATAATTAGATGCACTATCTAGTGTATATAAGATATCTATGGGGCTTATGCGGTAGGAGAGCCTAGCTGGGAGGGAGGGAGCTTAAAACAGGATTTACAGTATAAATTAAACGGTATCTTTTTCATTTTAGGACAACATTAAATACATTTACCGTAGCGTAGTAAAGTTTCTATCACATCATAACTTGACGATGACTGTCTATGCTTTGTCCCTTATCACAAGTTTGGCTTTGAAAGAGCAACTTGGCGAGCAGGTATTAAACTTCCTACTGGGTTAGTTTATTATACCATCTGATTGGTATTTTTTTGTCACGTGATCGCTTTTATATTCACTATAGTATAAACGTTAGTGGCGAAGCCAGCCCGACAATTTGGACTTGCTATGCAAATTTTAAATCATCAGTATTCATTTCTTTAGAAATTGATTGTTTTCACGGTCAATGAACATGGAAATATTTGCATAGCATGACCAAATTGTCGGGCTGGCTTCTAGTCCAGTCAATATGTGACCAGAGGTCAAAGAAATTGCAATAGAATTTTTTTCAGTGGTGAAATGTGAGGCAAGGTGTCCTGATTAACATACTAAAAATCCCAAAAAATCCCTTCGGTGGAACATGGTGGAAATCGAGTTTCTCTTACTTCTACCTATAGAAAACCATTGCGGACAGAATGTTCCAATTTTGAAATCATTTTTAGGCAAATGTAACATACATTATTGGAAAGCTTAAACAAAACTATATGAAGGTCAATTAACCGTTATATTCAATTTACTAGCCAGTTTGTCGTTATTCTAGCTCAAAGTTGGAGAAATAGCGCAAAATTTGCACAAAATACAAATTTATGGCATTTTAAATCTTGTATAACTTCGGCTTAATTGATCTATAGTTAGGTTTTTCTAAGCTTTCTAATGATGCGGGTTATATTTGCAAAATTTCAACATTTTGTCCGCAATGGTGTTCTGTTGGCGGAAGTAAGGAAAACTCGATTTTTACCATGTTCCACAGAAGGGATTTTTGGGGATTTTTAATATGTTAATCAGAACACCTTTTCTCGCACTTTACCACTGAAAAAAAACTATTGCGATTACTTTGATGAGGACCATGTACTTATAGTGATTTGACTGGACTATTCGCCACTGATAAAAGCTCATGTAATTTTTCCGACCCCCGCTCCTTCTATCAACCGAAGTTTTGTTCTCCTTCTAAAACGCCATCTTCTTCCGAAAAAGTTGCTTGTATTAATCCCTGACTTTATCTATCACTTGCATTATGTAGCTCTTCAATAGCAAAAACATCGACCAGACCTTCCAGTTACTCTTCAATATTCTAATAAATGGCGAGGGAACTTTGGCGCGGAAATATTCTGTGGATCTCTTCGTTGACCTCTTACCAAATGATAAGATCAAGCACTTCTTGACAAGGTAATTGCAGCGTTAGTTGTGTACATATACGCGGAAGCACGGTGGAAGATGCAGGGGTCGAAATTTAATTTTTTTTTGTACTATACAGCCGGAATATAGTAGATTTTTATATTTACTATTCCGTCTGAAAATCCACTATTCCTTAATATACTGTTTCTGAGAGCCTGTTGATGCAGGGTCCGCGCTAATGTTCTGATTTTCGGGAAATCATCCTTGGGACTCCTAAAGTGAACTGAATAATTGTAAAACAAACATGTACAGTGCATTGCTCTGTACAGTCACTACAGTGAGGAACAAATTTTTAATAAAAAACAAAGTTCAAACACTGAAATGAACTTGCGAACTTTATTGGTGCATGCAAAGAAATTAGAATATGCAAGTATTGCAAGCGAACAAGAACTTAGCTACGAAGTGGAACAGTGGCTCAAAGTCCGGTATAAAGTGGTATATTATACAAGAGGAAAACCCTCGCTTGTCAATATTTGGCATCATAATTTTTTCTAATATACGAACGGAATACTGCATGTGATCATGAAGTTTACTATTCCGTCAGGCATTTTAGTATATTCGGAATAGCGGGAATTTCGACCCCTGAGATGCTTGTAGCCAACCTCGTTCCCGGGCTCTTGCTGGTGGCGTGCTTCCCTGTATCTCTATACTCCATACTCTACTCGGAAACCATCAGTTTTACTTCAAAAACGAGCAGTGCGCGTAATGACTTTTTCAAAATACGGTGAGCATACTAGCCTTCTATTTAAATTATATTTTCTAATTTATTATTTATGTATGATTTCCATACAAACAAACTTCCTGATATGTTTCTGCAGGTTATAATCAAATGCATATTATAATACCAGATTAGCTTCTAAAAACATATTTTGCATTCCTTCAAGGCTTCAATAGACAATTCCCATTACGGACTAATTTTAAAACTAGGTAAGATACTAAAAATAGTAAAATTACAAAGTTTGGTTGCGAAATGTTGGAAAATGAGGAAAATACAATGTCATCCTTGTAAAGTTTGCAAATCTTGTAACTTTTGTATTGCGTGCGGAAATTGCTAACAAGATTTGCGAACTTTGCAAGGATGACATTGTACTTTCCTCATTTTCCAACATTTCGCAACTAAATTTTGCAAATTTACTAATTTTAGTATTCTCTTTCTAGCTGTGTTGATTTATTTGCATCTCCTTGCCTAGTTTTAAAATTAATCTATAATGGGAATTGTCTATATTAGAACCGAAATTATGGCAAATTATCACTTCGCTTTCAGGGACCCAAAATTTGGAATAACATAGAAGATTCTTTCAAACGTTTAACTGTAGATCTGCCTTCAAAAATAAACTAAAAACTAAACTAACTATCGGAGAGTAAGGACAGTGTATTTTTTTATACTTCTTCATCTTCTTTTTAGCTATGATCATCTTGCGTTTTATCTGGATCAATCTTTGAACATGCTCTCAAGATGCGAGCCTGATGAAGCACAAAAGGTACTTAGTGCGAACGAATTCGGCACCGTGCGAAAATTAGACTTGCTCCAGGTCTCTCTTTCATTGTCATATCGATCCACTATAGTGTACATTACATGACAATTCGCTCTGTTCCAACCATTGAACTATATAAGTAAACTGGAAGGCTAACTCAGGGGGGGGGGGGATTGAAGCCAGTGCATTTTAGTTTTTCTGAGTTATGAGCAGTATATTGAACTGAAGCTATTGAAAAACGCTATTTGGTGTAGAAATTTCAAGACTTTAACTAAAAGGGAAATATTTAAAAACTACAAAAATAATTGCCGATAATTTGCCATTTTTGGGCCGAATGGCAGTTGTTTTTGTATTTTAAAAATATTTTTCTTTTCGCAAAAGCCTTGAAATTTCCACACCGAATAGTAATTTTCAATAGTTTCTCTTTGATATATAGCGCAACGTTTGTGATTAAGTATTTCTGCTCATATAACTCAGAAAAACTATTTTGGCTTCAGCAAATCATAGGCCTTCATCATAGCAGTTAGCCTTCCAGTTTACTTATAAGAAAATATTCAAAAATATGCCATTTTAGATGAGAAAATCGAGGCAATAGTTTATGTAAATCAGGAGTATTTTGTATTTGTCGATATTCTGCACAGCGCACCTCAAACATTGTTTTATTTTAAATTTTCTCCATAAACTATTAAGAGGCAATTTTTTTCAATGTCACGTATTTGCAATGAAAAGTGTAAGTTCAAAACCTAAAATCGTTTTGGCGTTCCTCTCAAAATTACTTTGTTTTAGCTTTATTCTCTACTGAGTTTATAGAGTTAACAACCTTTTTAAATGCATCTGCCGGTTCAGAAACATAAAATAATAGTTGAAAATTGTCAATTAAAATACAATTATCAATGCATGATTCTTTAAAATTGACGCCATATTTACAGCCATATAAGCAAAACTTACTGAACTTCAGGCGTCATTTTCTCTTTGGCGTATCATCTAAAATCTCTTCATTTTAGCATTATTTTACAGATAAAGCACTAGACACACTTTTTAAGTTTGTTTGCCGATTGAGAAACGTATCGAAAAATAAAAATTTTGAATTTAGTCATAACCTCAAGTGGTATATATTATACGCATTAGTTTTGAGCGCGTGTTACGTAACATACAAAAAAATCTTCTCTTAATTAATAAGTTTTATCGCTTTCCCTTAAATGGACAATACTACCCATGCAGTCCCCTTAGCGGCAATTTTGCAGTACTGACGAGCTCCGTTTTCTGTGGATACAAAACAATAAAACAATTACACCCATTTGGGAAAATAATGGCTATGTGCGTGAGCACACGCCGATTTATTAATTAATCCAAAATGAATATTAATTTCCATAAATGACAATAACAGTTCTCACAGTTTTATATATGCAATTATATACTTTTCCCCAAAAATTCCATGTACCAAAAAACCATTCCCAATAAAATATGCCTCCAGCCCTGATGAGCACTTTCATTTTTTGTAGATATTTGAATTTCTCCTGGCATTTTGTGGTGTGTCGGATCTTCGCGTCATTCTTTATCGCGTATTCGAATTAAATCAACAGTCCAGTGATGGCAATGAACAAGACAACGCCTTCACTGGCGTGTTGTTCTGGATGAATAAAAACACTGACACACATCTCGTCTCGATAAAGGCTTTGGAATTTTTCAAGGAAATTTATGAGGTACATGCTCTTAATTTCTGGGTATTGCTACGATACGAATATTGTGTAAATCATGGCAGCTCTGAAGTAAATATTAACACCATTTTGTGTTAGTGAACACCACATTTACACGTATTAGGTGTAACGAAACACATATGGCACTTATCCCCCCATACTATAGACCCATTGCACATGACGTCACAGCACCAGTAACGATGCATCTGGAGGACAAATTAGCAATCTATACATAATATAACTTTTGTAAACAAAGCAAATTTTGTAAAACTTTATGATAATTTTGTATTAAAATAGTTAATCTTTGCGCTGTATGTGGTTGTTGCACCCGAACAGATATTGTTAGGGAGCATCTGGAGGACACTCTAAGGATTTGTGACGTCAGTGCAATGGGTCTATATGTGGAATTTGCGATTGCATGACTAAATCCATATCCATACTATTTCCATAATGTAGACGTAGTCATAGTATGGAGTATAGTCATAGTATGGAAATTGCAATTAGTATAAAAATTGAATTTCTATACTATATATTCAACGAAGATCCATACTGTACTATTTCCATAGTAAAGATTTGGAGAAAAATTTCTAGTTTATTCCTTTATTAGGTGTAAAGCTGGAGTATAATACGAGCAACAAAATTGCTGCAACTTGCAACAAAATCCAATTTGAATGCATGTTATAAGTAGAAATGTTGAGACATGTTGCCTCGTGATTTGTAATTTTTGTGCATAAACATTTTCAATTAACATGCGTAGAAGTCAGATTTTGTTGCTCGTATTAAAATTGCTCGTTAAGTTGCAGCAATTTTGTTGCTCGTATTACTCCACCTTAAACATCACGAATGTTAAAAAATTGTGTTAACATTTACAGACTCTAAAAATGGTTAACGCTGATCCAGACAAGACTTCTGAAGAAATATTTCCAAATTTATATTATACACAAGCTGTTGGAAAGTTTGCTTTGAATTTTAGGTTAACCTAAGGTTAAGGTTTTCGCACAATGAGTCCCTGGTCGCTGGTTGGTTGACTTAGCCGGCCTATTTATAATTTTCATTTAGGAAGCTATAACCACTGGTGAATCTACGTATCTGATGTCACATATTAAGACATTACTTCCAAACTTGGTCAAAAATCTTGAACCTCCAACGAACGTCGATGGGCATGGAACAAGAGAAAAATTTGAGAAAATTGTCCGTGTGCTGGACGTCCTAGCAGGTAACGAACTATTTGAACGGTATCATTAGACGTTTACAAGAGGGTCTAGATAGGAGGGAGGGGGGTTTGAAAAAAATGTTGGTATTTTAACGGTAAAGCTTTGAATCTGCTGTAAAGTGTTCTGAAACGATAAACAGTATCTTTTTCTTCACGCTTCACGGTAATATTTTTGGTGTTTTCACGACTGACGGTAACCGAAATTGAGCAATCACGACTCACGATATACCCCATCAACACCCTCTTACAATTGTAAGCGCGAGGTGTTGATGACTGGGCTGAATAATAACAATATATACCCTTAATACCAGAGGTGGAAAAATTATCTGAACCTGGGAATCTAATTCCCATAAATTTTATGAGATCTACATTTTTTTAAGAAATTTTCACAGACATCTCTTTATGTTTGATACTGGAGCTTTAATTGTGAAAATTGGACTGATTGAATATCTAAATTAGTAATTATTGAAATCATTAAATACCTATATGTTAGTGAATCTATACTAATTCGATACCTAAACTACAGACGGAAAAGTTTCATAAAAAATATTTATGGCTTGCAGTATGAAATGTGTTTTTGAAACTTGAAACTTTAAAAGAAAATATAACAGATGGCGAGGAGACTCCATGAAGCCACTGGGCTTATCTAGTGAGGTCACATCAAACAACAGATAGTATACAGTGGAATAAATATACAATATTTTACTCAAAGAGCGTATTATGTGCGCGACGTATAAAAATTATCTTAGCAAAATGTTTTTTAAAAGTGGAAAGACTAGACAGATCTTTTATATGTGATGGTCGAGCATTCCAAATTTTGGGACCTTGAAAGAGTATGGTAAATTCTTTTGGATTCGACAAGCTTGAGGACGATAATTCTCAGCTATTCTTGTATTACAATCAGGGTTTATTTTAACGTGCAGTTCTACACAAAATGTGCAGTTCTAAACCCATTTGTGCAGTTCTTAAAACTCAAATGTGCAGTCACCAAATTAACAAAAATATAACCTCAAAACAGTCTTCTCATCTACTCGTTTTCCTTGTGGATGCGCCAGATGCCAGAAATGCTGCCATTGAGCATCAAAAATCTAAATGATTTCCGGGAGAGGACCACCAGACCCTCATATTTTCCTCACAAATCACATATGTGCTGGGGTAATGGAACAGGAGGTAAAATTGGGACGAGCGAAGCTATCCAAAAGAGATTAGAGTGGGAGAACCTAATATTCTTTGCTACCTAAGGTTATTATATCTTGAGTATTCATGATTCCCAGTTACATGTTTTGAAACAGTTTTTGTGGGTAGTTGGGTGAAACAAATCTTTGCCAGAACTTACGAGCCTCTAAATTTAAAAATTTGGGGGGAAACCCCCTACTTGTAGCTTCCCCACCCAGAATCGAGTTTGTCTGGCCCCACCCAACCATACCTTATTCTGCCACCTATATACTAATTGAGAGTCTGTCATAATTTGCAACGTTAACTATAACTAAATCCTTTGACCCCCAGTCAAACATCCTTTCACCCCCAGTCAAACACGTGATGCTTCGTAACATCCCTAATATGTGCAGTTCTAAACTTTTCTTAAAATAAACCCTGATTGCAATTATGGACCTGCAAGACAGTAACTACAATGACTACTTTAGGATTTATCCTGTGTGCCTTATCAGTCCTAAAGACATACAGTATTTCTTCATACAACAACCCTTTAAATGAAGAAAATCACAAACAACAATTTTGTTATTTTTCCCTATTTATTTTATGTAATCATTTGCAAAAAAAATTGAGCCCTAAACCTAAGTTCCCGGGAAAAAATTCCATGCAACAGTGATCCTTGATTGGGATTCAAATTTCGATCATTTTATAAATGTTTAGTGTTATCTTGTGACGAGGCAGTGGCGAAGCATCTTTGTGAGATCATTGATTGTGATACATTTCAACGTCTTGTTGAACAACAGTACAGACTTAATGATATTGCCATGAAGGAGAAACTTAGCTTTACCGCGGACTGGAGGTGAGATAGTCTGCATGAACACATTTTTGTCTTAGGGTAATACAATAAACCACTAACAGTGAAACACGCAATTTTATTGGTCAATAGCCGTGCAGGATCAGGCTATCCTGCACGAGGAATTAAAATGCCTTCGCGGGATTCTCAAAATGTCATTGTTTCACTGTAGTTGTTTTATAAACAATTACCAAATGGTTTTCCAAGCAGGATAGCGTGATCCATGCACTTGGGATGTTGGCGACTTTCGGAAAGCGTAAAGAAACACTCGCCTGCGGCTCAAGTATTTTTCGCTTTCCGAAAGTCTCGCGACATCCCTCGTGCAAGGATCACGCAATCCTGCACGAAAAACCATTCGGTATTCCTTTATTCCTACCACCTACATACGTAGTGAAAACGGGCTATTTCATATATGAGTATATACATATTTCCTTTCTTGATCCAAATATCTTCATTGTTCATACCGAAGACATGCTCATCCCAAAAACATCCCAAATACTGTATATGTAATACCTAGGTCTGCTGGAAGGGCAAAAACGATTCCAAGAAGGGCACTAGACCTTCTCATTTCCCGTTTAACCCCAGGGCCTGGTATATAGCACAAGCGAAAGGCAAGATCTATAAGCTACACTGGTTCGTCCTAAGCGAAGCATTAATTAAACATGCAGGTTCCTAAAAACGATACGTTTTTCATCTGTTTAGCGAGGTTGGCGTTAGCGTGGCGCTAAAGACTTTGGATGTTATGAACAAACTAAAGACAAAGGATAAAAATATAAAAGTATGTATTTCGTGCTCAGATCTCATCGACGTACAGTACGTCGATCTTTATATAACTAACTTTCATCACAGAGCCCTCATTTTTTTCTGGGTGATTGCTTCCCTTCCACCCCCCCCCCCAGCTTCTCCCGGCCTCCCTGAAAAATTCAATTCTATTTTACAGGAAACCTTGGGTGAGCTAATGAAGGTAAAACAGTTGCAATTAAAAACAATACAATGGGTGATTCCAGCTATGCCTATGGACTGAATTTTGATCAAGGCGAGAAGAACGAAATCCGATACCACAGCTAGAACGAGCGTCTGAGAATGAGTAAAACTGCAAAGATTGGTTGCAAAATGTTGTAAAATGAAGAAAATATAGCCCTGTGAAGTTCGCAAATTTTGTACATATTTGTATTATTCGCGGTAAATTAAATAACCACTTTCGCTCAAAAATGGTTCTTTTTCGCGCGCGTTATGCAAATATACACAAAATGTGCGAACTTCACAGGGCTATATTTTCCTCATTTTACAACAATTCGCAACCAAACTTTGCGCAATTTTACTCATTTTAAGATGCTCTTTCCTGCTATGGTAATGGATTTCGTCCTTCTTGTCTAGATCAAAATTTTGTCCATGCTAGAATCATCCATTACAAACACTTTAAAATTACAATATATGCGTTTCTTCTACATGTGGCAAGGTGAAGTAAATACCAAGTTTATTGACTGGGTTTTTATCATGACCACAGGACGAGCGTCTCGTGTCTTTCTTGGCGAGCACAATCTCAAACGGTCAAAAAGATGACATTCAAACTGCCCTGCGTGTCCTTCGAGAATCTTGGAAGAAAGCCGACTTTCACTTCGCATGGTAAGAAGAATGAATAACGCCTTAGAAATCGGATTTGGCGGTATCTCACTCGATAGTAAATGTTCAAGGGTTTCTGTACAGTAGATGCAAATTTCGAGTTTAAAATTTATACATTTATTTAGCGCTATTGTCGATTTCAAGTCACTTTTCAACGCGCGGTTCCCAAGTTCTTTGCAAACTTGCCAATTACGTTTCCAGGTTCAAAAATTGGGCGTGAACGTCGCAACAAAGTTCGCAAGTACATTTCAATGTTTGATCTATTGTAAACAAATGTTCATAGTTCATGTTGAAATTAACAATTCAATGGAAAGTTCTTGGTCTTCTGGTCCAGTGGGCTATCAAGAAAGTTTGTATATGTCATTGAATTGGTTATTATCATTGAGTATGAACATTTGTTTACAAACGAAGTTCAAACATTGAAATGTACATTGAAGTTCACGCCCAATTTTCGAACTTGGAAACGTAATTGGGTTTTCGGGTAAAGTTCCCGATCATGGTGATCGGCAGTCATGACTTTTCCTGCTTTTTCAGATTGGAAACCCTGCTTTTCAGCCGATCATAAGCGATCTCTTGCCGATCATTGATCGGCTGTTATTCCAACTAGCCCTGCACCCGGAGCAGAGTATAGGCCCTCTGTCAGGAATCAAACCTGCAGCCCTGTCTACGATTATGTAGCAACCTCGTAACCAGGGTCTTTCCTCTTGGGGAAAAAAGACCCTGGTAGACGCTGACCACGTGATCTGCTAAAATCTAGCAGATTTCTAATTTTGATTAGAAATCTGCTAGATTTTAGCAGATCACGTGGTCACGCTTGTCACGTGATCTGCTAAAATCTAGCAGATTTTTAATTAGCAATCCAAGATGAGGTCAATAAATATTTGACATTTGGAGTATTTTTATAGTTTAATTTATAATTTGCATTTTGTATGATTGTCATATAAAGGTATCCAAGATAGTTAAAACTATCTTGGATACCTTTATATGACAATCATACAAAATGCAAATTATAAATTAAACTATAAAAATACTCCAAATGTCAAATATTTATTGACCTCATCTTGGATTGCTAATTAAAAATCTGCTAGATTTTAGCAGATCACGTGACAAGCGTCTACCAGGGTCTTTTCTCCCCCAGGAGGAAAGACCCTGGGAACGAGGTTGCGATTATGGAGGGTTAAGTACTGAGATTTTGAATATAGAAATTGAGCCCAAACTTTGTTTCCCAGGCTTGGTGAACTTATCTTCGGAAATAACCGGAAGAAAGAAGAAGAATTAAAAACATTACGTAGGCGTCATGATGACATCCCCCTCTTTCCGATATCAGAGTCAAGACTGGAGCCGAGTTTGAGCATGTTGTCGAAAGATCCACTCAAATCTTCGTCAAGACGTCGGGACCGAAATAATCCGAAGACAAGCACCTTCGTGAATAGTGTACTGGATGAAAGTACCATCGAGAGTTTGATCGATAAAATGAAGTCAGGAATGGAGGTACACACGTAAAAACGCACAAGTTGTTACAGGTCTGCAAATACGTTGTTACAAATCTGTTCACAAGCTGTCGACAAGTTGTGTACGCACTGCTTGTTCCCAGTTGTTGTAACAAGTTTGAGAACTATTGAGGGCTATTAAGAACTTGTAACAAGCTTGATGACATTATCAGACTTGTCACAATGTTGTTCTAACAAGTCTGATACAGTCATGATATAACAAGAATGTTACAACGTTGACCACGCAAGGTTGTAACAATATTGTTATATCATATACAAATTGCCGTAGCGATAGTTGATCGGACTTCAGTTGGAACAACCTTGCAACAAACCTGATAATATCAACAAGCTTGTTACAAGTTGTTTGAACAGCTTGTTGGAACAACCTTGCAACAAATCTGATAATATCAACAAGCTTGTTACAAGTTGTTTGAACAGCTTGTTGGAACAACTTTGCAACAAATCTGATAATATCAACATGCTTGTTACAAGTTGTTTGAACAGCTTGTTGGAACAACCTTGCAACAAATCTGATAATATCAACAAGCTTGTTACAAATTGTTTGAACAGCTTGTTGGAACCTTGCAACAAATCTGATAAGCTTGTTACAAGTTGTTTGAACAGCTTGTTACAAACTTGTTGACAACTTGGGACAAGCAGTGCGAACACAACACTTGTTGGCAGACTTGCTACAAAGTACAAGATGTGCAGAGATATTTGCGTGTGTAGGAGATCCAGGCGAATGGTCAAAATATACTACACACACTTAGATTAAACTTCGCACTACACGTTCAAGACTTACTTTTAAAAACAATTGTATTAATGGTATAGTACTGCGTTAATATGTAAGAAAACGTTCAGAAAACGTTGTAACTATGCTTCATGCACAATTCTGTGAAAATATGTGGAATAGAGCCATTGCACTGACGTCACAAATCCTTAGAGTGTCCTCCAGATGCTTCCTAACAATATCTGTTCGGGTACAAAAACCACATACAGCGAAAAATTAACCATTCTAATACAAAATTATCAAAAAGGTTTACAAAATTTGCTTTGTTTACAAAAGTTATATTATGCATAGATTGCTAATTTGTCCTCCAGACGCATCATCACCGGCACTGTGACGTCATGTGCAATTGGTCTATTACTGCCATTTTGTTTCAATATTACTGAGTTTCAAACAGTTTTTCCAGTTGTTCGGTTTCTTGCCTAAAACAATATCAGTCGAATCGGTTTTCAAAAAACATTGGTTTTTCCGGTATATCTAAAACATTGGTTTTTCCGGTGTATCTATTAACCGCCTCATCCTAATCCAACGACTGAAACAGGTTCGCAGCGGTCTTTGAAATCCTTGAAAGTATTTAAATTTGAATGCATGCAGGTCTTTAAGGTCTTTGAAAAATCGCAGAAAGTCTTTAAAAATCTTTAACTTCTTTAGTGAGGAATTGATTATATGATTTCCTAGCTAATAAAATAGATTGAAGCAAGATTTTCGAAAATATCGACGAAAAGGCGCATTAAACTGTAGGATGTGATTTGACGGGACTAATTGCTGGTTAAAAATGGTGCTTACACTCCCAATTTTTTGACAGCTGCAGATTGCTCCCAAAAGTCTTTGAAAAGTCTTTGAAAATAGGCAGAAAAAATCTTTGAAAGTCTTTGAATTTTTTGGTCTTGGACTAATACTAGAATATTTTCAGATAAAAGATGCAAAGGCGTCAGAAATAATGGATGTTTATGAAGCTAAACTCACTTCACTACAGGTATGGAATATTACAGCGTGCCTATGCTTTCATGGTTGAGGTATTCACTATTCTTGATATGCACTAATCCTTTAAGATCTTAAAACTGAATCATTTTTCCTCCTTCAGACGAAAGAAAGCCATCTCCAAGATCTACTTGAAGCGAAGACATTGGCTCTTGCCCAATCAGATCGCATGATTTCACAATATCGATGTAGAAGGGCACAATCAGAAGCAGAGGTTGGTACACGGCTTTTGCCATGCACCTACATGCATAAAATATGCATGGTAACTTGCCGTCTGTTTTGCGAAACAAAACCGATGTTTACGGCATGGTGAAAAATTCAGTTACAAGTACAATATATTGAAATTTTTGGTATATTATTTTGCTTGAAAAACTCGTACTGAAAAACGTTTCAATACAGGTGTGGAGTTAAGTTGGAAAATATTGTAAAAACTAACCGATGCACAAATACAAAGTATGCCGAATGGACAATAACTTCAATCTGGTGATTATTCCACTAATACTTGCACGGATCTACGGTTTCGTCGTTTCGACAAGTTGCAAACGAGCACAATTTTGATTTCGTCGGGACAATGATTACCAAACGACTTTCTTCTTTGTAGTAGCCCCATGCAGCACCGAAAGAGAACTGTTTTGCTTGTGTATTTTAGTGTACGAAGTTACGACATATGTTACAAGAAACAGAAAAACGTTGCGAAGCTCAAAACGAACAGGTATTCTCTACACTGAAACCATGAATGTGGGTTTTTATATTTTCCCTTGCTCTGGAGATCAGCCCTTGCTCTGAAGATCAGCCCTTGCTCTGAAGATCTGCCCTTGCTCAGAAGACCAGCCTTTGCTTTGGAGATCAGTCCTCAGAACACGGATTTGTTTATCGTGAACTACATGTATAGTATATCGTTATATATTTGAAGTGTATTGATTTGTTGTTTCTCATGCAGATTCATGGTTTTGCTGAGTCTGAAACAGCATCATGCCAACAGGTATATATAGTACTGTAGGGCCTGTAAGCATGCATTACTAAATTCTAGTAGAGTTTTACAGGTTAAATTTAATGACAACCACGGATCTACCTTTAGTTAACTCTTCTGGCTGTTATTTGCAAAAAGTGCAAAGTCGCTATACAAAATAATATGCCGATATGCATAAATGAAACTGCTGACTGTTAGATATATAGCTAGACAGTTAGTTTTCAAAACGTACTCCAACTTCAAAAATTTGTATCTCGCCCAATATTTCATAAAATTTCAAGTGTTTATACCTGTATATACCAAAATTTAAGTCAGCTGTTGTAGTCTTTTACGAAGAATTAAATCAAACAGGATAACTTTTTTGGGAGGGAGGAGGGAGCACCTGGTATTTGTTATTTATGCTGATATATGCATTTTCATGTTTAGATGGAAAAACTCAAAATTCAAATCAAGAATCTTCAAATGACCACTCGTGAACACGAACAACTCAAAGTAGGGTTTGCTGAGCAAACAACGAGGTACTGATGCATGAATGAGGCCCTTTTTTATCGTCGATTTCAAGTCACTTTTCAACGCGCGGTTCCCAAGTTCGTTGCAAACTTGCCAATTACGTTTCCAAGTTCAAAAATTGGGCGTGAACTTCGCAACAAAGTTCGCAAGTACATTTCATTGTTTGAACTGTTGCAAACAAATGTTCATAGCTCAAGTTGAAATTAACAATTCAATGGAAGGCTCTTGGTCCATGACGTGATGACAGTTGCTGAACCCATAAGTGCATAGAAGCTTAACAAAAGTAAATTTTATGAATAAAGAAACTGTTTAAGAAGTTGCTTTAAATTCCCAAGAGCAGAAAATCGTCAGCTTACAAAGATATTTTAATTTCTTCAATACTCACAATATATGCATCCTGTCGAACATATTTTACGCATCTTTGTTTCATTTTGGTACTGAGGCGTTCGGATTCTAGCAGTGCGTTGTTTCAGTGGTTTTTGTTTTTTTGGGACACCCTGTATGTGACTTTAATTAAAATGTCTATGTTAGAAAGAGGAGGGGCACCATGCAATGGACTTTACGTCCAGTTTGTGCCTTGTCCGTTTGAGTACAACACTTTTTAATTCCTATTTATATATTATCTAGATTAGAGACGTTAAAAGAAGCGCTGACAGCCGCACAGAAGGAGCATGAGTCCCAGTCTGAATTGAATGAAATGCTTCGACGTCATAAAGACAATCTGAAGAATCAACATGACTGGTAAGTAAATATGATATCTCCTCTTTTGTCACCTTTTCTTCTAATGTCTCTAATCGCTCAATCTCGCACCCGTTCAAGCAAGGACAACTTGCTTCAAGTCAATCCGTGCAAAACCTCTCTTTTAAGAAACTCTTTTTTTAACCGAATTTTCTTTCTATGGAACAATCTCTCTCCGGATCATTCGTAACAATTCTTCTGTTTCATCCTTTAAACTCCAGCTCAATATTCACTACTTTTCTCAATTAGACTCTTCTTTCGATGTCAACAGAATGCGCACTTGGAAAACCTATACTGCTTTAAATACCTTTCTTTCAACTTAAGCTCATAATCTAACCTATATCATAATCTATTTTTTATATACTGTAGTTATGTAAATAGTGTTCTAGTCCTTGTTTTTAATGTATATGTCTACTTGTTATTTTGTATCAGGTTGGTCTTCACATGGGACTCGTGTTGACCATACCTTCAATCATTGTTATATATTTTATATAGCTGCATTTTTGTATGGTTGTAAAGCTAATAAATAGATATCACAACTTATTAAATATTAACTTTTTCTCGTATGAAATCTTGTCTGATCAAAATGATTGAGTTTTATTTTCAGAAGTTTTGAAATGAATAGTAATAATAATACACAAACCAAAACAGTCAGTTAATCGTTAATCATTCTTTGAACAACCGGATATGTTACTGTGTATGTTGTGTTTTTACAGTGCAATCCGTCAACTTCATCAACTCGAAGAGGAAAGAAAGAAAATCATGCAACAATTACAACAGAAAGATCTGAAAATGAACGGTACGGTTTTCCTTTTGTTTTAGTCTTGCACAAATTAACCGCATGCGCTTATGCACCCCGGAACAATTTCAGGCTTCATACTGTAGATGTTTTTGAAAGAAAAACAGGTCTTGTGTGATGAAGTGAATAATTTCTCTGCCTTTTGGGACAAAGTTTTAAAATTTTGAGTGAAGATTTTCTGTTTTCTATACATTCATTCCTTCGGACTTACCTATAAATAACAACCGATCCACTAATTTTTCTATCATTGATCCTTAGAATATTCCGAAACTCTCCGAGCACAGGCAGAAGATTTACAAAACAAGGAGAATGAAATAAGTCAACTGGGTAAATCGTTCACTCTTACCAAAGCTGAACTCGATAAAAAAGAGCAAGCAAGAAAGGAACTGGCGCATAAGGTTGGTGGTGGCTTTTACCTTAGCTTTGGAGGCGTTCATTTACTCAACCATGCAAGACGTCCTGGTCAAATCAAACAAACTATATAGTAGGAAAAGGTTTACTGTCGATGCAATGGAAGTGTTGATAAAATATTGCACCAATTCCTTTCCTCAAGTTGATCAATTCATTTGATAGAAAATTGATCAACTTCGATCCTGTTACTTTTAGATGAGCCAATTAGATTTCATTTCAGAACCGATTAACCAATAGGAAGCGCACAGGAAGTAAAAAGAAATTTGAATTCGTATGAATTGATCAACTTGCGGAAATGAATTCATGCAATATTTTATCAACACTTCCATTGCATCGACAGTGAAATAACCAAGGAATTTGCATAGGTACAGTAATTAGTATGGGTTTCCAGTGGAATTTGGGGAAAAACATGCACGAGTGAGTTTTTCAAAGACTATCAAAATTACACGAGTCCGAAGGGCGAGTGCAATTTGAAGTCTTTGAAAAACTCACGAGTGTACAGTATGTTTTTTCAAATTGCACGAGAAACCATACTATTATCTTATTAATAATAATATACATGAAAAAATCATGCAGTCACGTGCGCAAGCCACATTTAGAAATTAAGAAAAATAAGAAATTTGAAAAATAAAAAATTAAGAAATTTGCACTGTATTTCATTTTTCTGGTTTCTAAAGCAGTAGCGAAGTTTGAGCCGCCATTTTGTTTTGGATATGAGCTAATATCCTGGTGGTAGAGAACCATCAGATTGCAGAATGCCTCATATCCAGACCTTGTGTATATAATAAGACTTGATATTTGCTGTGTTGATGTAGTGTACTCAGGTGAATATATAAGATGCTTGTGATGTTACTCTGAGTGTATATCCACACCGGGCAGGCTTGAAAAATTTGCCTGGCCACGGTGGAATATATACCTGACCGCGTAGCTCAGTTGGCAGAGCATTGGGCTAGTATTCCAAAGGTCGTAGGTTCGATTCCCACAGTGGCCAGGCATATTTTTCAAGCCTGCCCGGTGTGGACATACACTCAGAGTAACATCACAAGCATAATAAGACTTGTTAACAACTCTTGTACTTGTTAACAACTCTTGTATGTTTTTTCGTCCAGGTTGGATCTCTGGAGTTGGTATGCAGTCAACGTGAAAAAGTTGTGAAAGAAAGAGAACTGCAGTTGAAAGGTCTACAAGAACATCTTGATAAGTATGCTCAAATGTCCGCCATGATTCACAGTCTCACCGGTGGTACTGTTCCAATAGTTCAAAACGAAGAAAAACCTGGCACAATAAGTAAGAAAAAATAATTTCCATATTACTGTACGCTAGCCTTGCTGCGGCTAGTTCAAAGACTCATCTACTGGATTTGGTGGATAATCCAAGTCTCAGGTGCATCTCGAAAAATTAGGATATTATCTCGCTATTTAAACCAGTCTGCGCACGTTTGTATTGCATAGTATATAATGTTAAGACAAAAAATTACAAATATTTTATTTTTACATGTAATGATTTGCTGACAATAAAATTTTCACTTTTTGAATCACAGCAAAGAAATATTTTCAAAGACATTCTAATATTCTGAGATGCACCTGTGATTATCCACCAAATCCAGCATTCAAATCAAATCAAATCTATCAAATCCACCAAATCTAGTTCAATCAAGTGTATAGTGCAGTGACATCTTTCAAATTCACAAAAACTCGTCCATACCTATTCAAATGACCGTTCACTGCAAAAAAATATTGACTGAAAGTAAATCTTTACTAAAAAATTGAGTGAATTTGCTCATTTGCTCATAAGTTTGAGTAATTTACTCAAAATGTTAACTCACTCTTGGTGCATTTAATCTTAAAGTCAAGTTCTGCATGCAGTGATTTTTTACTTCGGAGACAAGATGTTCAAAAGCCTGTTAGCTTATATAATCTTGCGTTAACGTAAAATTCAAAGCAAGCTAATACAGTAATAGACCTTTTCCCTTATGAGTGAAATTTTGATCTAGATATGCCTGGACAAAAATGTCATCACAGCTTGAAAGAGCATCACAAAATTAGTAATATTCCGAAGTTTCGTTGCGAAATGTTGTAAAATGCGGATAATATAGCCTTGCGAAGTTTGCCGTTTTTCAGTCATTTTGCATTACAAAAGGGAGATGATCAAACTGAATATCAATTTCCCATTTGTAATACAAAATGACTGAAAAACGGCAAACTTCGCAAGGCTATATTATCCGCATTTTACAATATTTCGCAACGAAACTTCGGAATATTACTAATTTTGTGATGCTCTTTCAAGCTGTGGTGAAATGTTAATTTGTCCAGACATGTCTAGATCAAAATTTCACTCAAAAGGGGAAACGGGTCTATTCCCAGCAGTTTGCTTATAAGCCTGATGAAATTTTGTCTGGATCATCAGAATTTTAAATTTTTAAAGTTCTGAAATAAACAGACGTGCGGAAATACATAAACCTTGGTGAAATTTTAACCCAGGGTATAATTTGAATAACCCGCCTCTGGTATGATTTTGCCAAACTCCTTTGTTCTGGGTGTATACTGCAGTAAATGATAAATAGTATATGATTTTTGCACATACCCTAAGACTTTTAGAAATAATTACAGACTGACCAAAAAAATGTTCTTAACCCAGTATTGTTATATTCCCTATACAGTGGTGTCAAGTAACGAAGTAAATCTACTTCGTTACTGTACTTGAATACTATTTTTGAGAAGTCAGCATGTAACAAAGTAAACTTTTTCTGGAGTACTTTTACTTGGAACGAAGTTGTTTTAAGAAGTAACGTTTTACTTCGTTATTTTCATTTTGTGGCGAAGTATTTCGTTACTTTCTAACTTTTGTTTTTAATTCTACGTGATTTATTCCGGATTTATTTTAATTTTGAGATAGGGCGTAAAAAAAATACCTGTGGTTCCGGTTCCCGACCGACCCTATTTTTTTCTGCCGACCCTATTATTTTTTCAACGCGATTGACCTACCGACCCTATTTTCTCCAGGTGGTTGCGGGCTGCCCATACAGCGTGCCAAAATGGCGTCTGTTGTCACACTAATTAATGAACCAAATTGCCTAAATCCGTCCATAGGAAATATGCATCTCTAGTTAATATTGATGTCGGGACTCTACTGCAAATCGCCCAGCAAAAACCCGCCAAAACCATGAAAAAAATATTCCAAAAAAAAATTTATTTCCGACCTACCGACCCTAATTTTTTCACGATATGAAACCGGAACCACAGGTATTTTTTTTTTTACTCCTAGGTAATAGGACCTCCACATGCGTCTGGGATCTCTCGTTTGTGGCTTACCTATAAGCATTATTTATTTAATGGATTTCTTATATCTTCAACCGGGTCTGGAAAGTAGACCATCAACTATCAACTTATTGCATAAAGTACTAAAAGATAGACTTGCAGTGAAAAAATGAAGGCAATCCATTAAATTCTCTTTATTTTACAGTTGCTGGCAGTATCGCAATTCACAATATTGTTGTTTTAAGAAAATTAAGGTTAAACTTGCACAAATGTTTGTAACTCATTTGCAGCTTTAAGAAGTAATCAAAGCTGACCTAAATTATCCAGTTCTTTTTCTACAGTAGAAGTTCAAAGAAGGTAACAATGTTCTGTATTATGAGATTTAGGCACTAATTTAATATTTTCTAAAGTTTAAACATACCAGCACCAACAACAGTCTAACATTTCTTCTTACCAACTACCTCCATTGTCGGCATGACAAAGCCAAAGGTAATCTGAGGTTCATCACTTTTTTCGGCAGTTCTCTTTCTTTTCTTTTTATTTTGCTTAATATCAGGTTGGGAGCTAAGGCTAAAGCCCCCAGGTTGGTAGGCATTCTTGTCACCTTTCGACTTTTGCAATGCACGCAGTTTCCTCCTCTGGTTTTTGTATTTCGAGGTCATTTTCTTTGCAGCGCTTTGAATTCTAACTCTATCTTGCAGTCGAAGAGCCCTCATAGAGTTTTGGCCAGGAGTAATTCCACACAAAGTCATTATCACTGCTTTGCTGGCAGCACCAGTGTTAAACACTGCCACTGTTTCGCAAGCAGCGATGCGGACCCTTCGAGCACCACAAAATTTAGTCTTAGGACATTTAGACCAAAGAACTCCATGAGCAGCCTCGTTTTGGTTTTGGGTCATTCCCTTCAAGCATCTGGTAAGAAGGTCATGATTTGATAATCTGGCAAATATTGGTTCAAGCTCTTTTTTGAAGACTTGAGGCAACCGATTATCTTCATTGTATAATGAAGTTTTCTCATTTTGGTCCTTCCAGTATTTGCACCATGTATCACTAGACTTAGGGCAGTGCTGGTGTTGTTTACGTAAAGATAAAGTGTCATCTTTTATCATGTGGTGATGTATTGCTTTTATTCTTGTTTTCATACCTTCTAGATTGCCTTTGTTCTCTCTTATCGCTTGTCCATAAAAGTTTTGCATCCGATCAATCATTGTATCTGTCAGTCGTCCTTTCCCTCCAACACTCTTGCCATCCGAAAGTTTCTTTCCTTTATTGTCATTCTTATACTTCTTTAGAGCTGTTCCCAACCTTTTCTGGACATGCCCTACACATTCCTCTTTTTTGATCTGATAAGCTGAGCCAAATTTTTCTTCCAATGCTTCCTTTACGCATCCAAAGCTACTGCTATCACCATCCCCAACAAAAGTCGTGTACTTCAGCTTTCGTGTCTCAATGCTTCGGCTAAATATTTGAACTGCTGCTACAGCTTCCATTTCTTCAGATGAACCCTCATGGTTAATCTCACATCTTTGTGTATGAGCGTCCTTCCATTGTTTATATTTATCACTTTCTTTGTCATCGTTATTGTGTGCCTTGCACTCATGGCAGAAGAGAGACTTGACTTCATAGTCAAGTATCTCCCCAGTGTCCACTGATATCACAAAGACGACTCCTATTTTGGAAGAGTGTCCTCTTTTTTGCCATGTGCCATCAACAGTGACTGCGACATGGGCGATATCTATCTCACCACTTTCGATATTGTCAGGTTGCTCAGCTGATATCTTTTTCCTCAACCGTTCTGAAGCATCTTTCATGACTTGCTCTGCATGGCTTGAAGCTGCCTTCTCAATTTTGATAAGATGCTCATTGTACGCTTTTTGGGTGACAGGAGGAGGCAAGTTCATGCTGCCACAAAACTGTGCCAAGCCTGCATGGCCGAATTGGTGAGAAGCTAGGACCGATCTTCGGTTGACTTCATGGGACCCACCACCTTTTCCACCCAAACGGTTGCTGGTTGCCAATGGAGTTTCAACCTTACAATGAGAGCATTTCAACAATAGTTGCTCACATAAACCTTCTCTTTCATTATTTTTCTGATAGAGTTCCAGTTTAGATGCTGATTTACGGCAGGAACTACATATTGCTGCTTTTGATATACAGGTACTCAATAGAACTGCATCTTGTAGTTTGAAACCACCAGCAATTTCAACGTCAGATGGCGATAGAATTCCAACTTTTTTTGCTTGTTGGCGAGTTAAAATCTTGTCATTTCCTTCCAGTTGTTTGAAAGAAGTGTTCAGAAGCTTTTTACTGGTAATACTTTCGCATTTTTGTGCACAATTCGCCACAGGATCATCGCTAACGGTGGCCAAACAATCACGACTGTCATTATTGACCACGGCGCCATTGCTCGAATTATCAGTGATCTCTTGCGGTCTTTTGCCGGAAAAACCACGTCTCTTCTTTCGTCTCACCGATCTAAACTTTCCCTTACTATTCTTCTCCATTTTTACAAGTAAAAACACGTTGAAACGCCTTGAAAAGCACTCGATTGAAAGAGATTCTTGAAATTTTATCACACAACAGCTAGAAAACGACAACACAACAACAACCCTCAATTTGCCGTGGGGTTTGGGCCGAAAAAATATATTAAGATTTAAGATATCAGGGGGGACCCTTTCAATATTTTACAGGGGTTTGGAATAAAAATTTTTAAATACTAAGCTAAACAAACGCATAGCAACCAAAGTAGACAAAACTGTTAAATACTGTTGCTATGCGTGATTTTCATACACCATTGCAGGAAAACGCATATTTCGGCAAAAATATTCCAAGTACTTGAAAAATATGTTCAGAAAGTAAAACTACGATAAATTGTGGACCAAATAACGCACTTAAAATATTTAAAAAAAATTAAAGCTGTTTAATTTAAGTAAATTGTGGGTTAATTAACTACCGCCTTATTTAGTACGTTTTGCCTCCATGCACTACTTACTTTTTACTCTTACTCAAGTCGTTTTATTGTTAATTACTTCTATACTTTTACTCGAGTGCAAATTCAAAGTAATTTAGGCACCACTGTCCCTATAAAATTTTTGGATGATCATGAAATTTCTGTTCAATTTAATTCGTCAGATGTCGTTACCTTCTTATCACGAAAATCAAAACAAATCATGCAGTGAACTACGTAATGCTTACTTATTTAATTATAGCGCTAATTCGTGTAATTAACCAGGCCCAAGGGTAATCTCTTTTCTAATCAAGATTTTAGTCGTTTATTTATACCAGACTTTGTAATCCAATTCACACAGTCTGCGGCACATAGAATACATTCCCACCCTTTGGAAATTGTTTTTAACCCTTGTGAATAGAATAAGAATGTTAGGAAACTCGATGCAGACTATAGACCTCATTATCTATATGTTTTTGTCACGATTTATGCAAAAAATCAGTTCATCGTTGCCTGTGTATTGTATTTTCGCCAGAGCAACCAATATAGCAATATGTTTTCATTTAATCATTGTGTAATTTCACGACTGGGTATAATTAAATCAACACACAAGTGCTATTGGTTAGTTATGCGGAAAAAACAATACACATGTGATGATTTTACATAAACCAAGACAAAAACATGAGGTCTATGTTTCCTAAAGCCTGCAGCACACGAGAGCTATCGGCTGAGCCAAAAGTTACTCGTGCCTGTTAGCTCAGCCGATAGCTCACCGATCAAACATGTTTGATACGTGAGAAAAGGTTGCATGAGGCAAAAAACTCAGTAAAATGTACCCGCACACGGTGAGCTATCGGCTGAGCTAACAGGCACGAGTAACTTTTTGCTCAGCTGATAGCTCTCGTGTGCTGCAGGCTTAACTAGCCCTGGGCAAACTAGGAAACATTGTTGTGGGAACATTTGTGATTCTCGATGTTTCTTCAAATGTTTCCCTGTTTGCCCACCCGTGGAAACATTGTTGTGGAAACAAAATTTGCTTCCCGAGAACCACAAATGTTTCCTAGCAAATTCAGAAACATTTGATGTTTCCCTATATTTCTCACTAATGTTTCCTAGTGTTTGCCCACTCTTGGAAACATGGCGAAACATTGGCGAGGAAACAATGTTTCCGCAACAATGTTTCCTAGTTTGCACACGGCTTAAATTGACTATATGTTTCTACTTATATCGCATTCAAGAGCATTTCCGAGCTTCTATATAGAGTATATAGTCTACATTTTCAAAGTGTTTTGTCTTAACATGGCCCCATTATCCTTTGTAATCCATCGTAATCCATTGTTCCCTAGTCATGCAGTCGCATGCGTGGAATTTATGAGCAAATTAAAACATGCAACACAGCTGGAGTTTACTGCACTGGGAGACACCTAGCAAAATATAATTGGCTTTACCGCAAATTTAATTATAGTATTTATAGATAATAACTTATTCCAAAAGTAGCAAGGAGATACAAAGGATGCAAACAAATTACAAGATAATTATAGATAACACCTAATACTATGGCCTATATTACATGAATATATATCTATAGTTGTAAGATTGCAATAGAAGATCAAAAGTTGCTAATATCAGTAACATGTTATAACAGTATTTGGTATAGAAATTTTTAAAATATTTTTATCTCGCATTGCGATATAGCATAATGAAATATAGGTCTTGTAAATTGAATAACATATATGATTTATTAATTTTATACAAACTATATCAATGAAATTATCAATGAGTCATGCAACCCCCCGTCCCCGTGCATGTAGAGCAATTAAAATCTCCAATTATATGAATGATCCTGCATGCGCCACAAACATTTTCACGAACATTCCTACTGAGTACTATCTGGCTAAGATTAGACTGGTAAACAATCGAAAACCCGAAATATTCGGCGCTAAGCCTAGCCCCTTATCAGAACTGATAATTACCATAATTTCCATCAATTACACTCTAAATCTAAAATCTGCTTTCACGCTTGACGCAAACAATTAGTGAGAAATCAACGCATTCCTTTGCAGCCTGCGTATATGTCAGTAAAACGGAAAGAATTTTTTCTTATTAATTTCCTTTGACCACAACGTACGGAACAGACGATGCGCCTGAGCACGAAGGCGATCAAAATATATTTGTCCTAGAGGCACTGAAATAATTTGTTCAACATTCAAATGATAGCTGGATCACTGTCTAACAAATCTGTAAGAAAAACTTGTGAAACTCATTAGGGAGCTTAAGATGCACCAAATCTGCGGCGTGGACGCGACTAAAAAACAGTCGCTCAGTAATCATGGGAGACTAGTTTTACTTTTCTCGTGTCCCTGGCTTTGCTTACCAACAACATTACATATAGTTTTTACCCGTGAAGTGAAACTGTGATAATAGCGGCAGTCAGTTCGTCACGTCCGCGTCGTAGATTTGGTGTATCTTGAGCTCCCTATTAATAATTCATGAAGAAAACACAAAATCATGACCGTGAAGGAGTTTGTATATCTGATAGTTTGTATATCAATTTTCTCACCAAATATCATTCATTTATTTTAAAATTGTGGAAGAATACAAATGTTCTCATCAAGACGTTTCACAAGCTATATAAAGCATTCGCGTCCGTGATGTATCAGACATGCAACCTCTTGCCTTCGGCTCGAGTTTGTATATATACAATTGAAAATTATTTGCTGCAGGCAAAATGTTTAACTAGACTTCGTTTAATTCCCACCGGATATTTCAATTGCTGGATAACCTTGCGTTTTGCTTGTGTTTGTATATATCTTAATCCAACATGGCTGCTCCTGGCTTATTAACAACTATATTTTCTAGTGCTGTTGATGACATAGCAATTCTGAGGAACAGCAGTGATAAAGTAAACTCGTTAATGAGTTGAAGTGGTTATTATCGCATTAATTATAAGATTAGCCATAATCTTCATAGCTGGAGGTGGGAAAACAATTAAAGTCTCACACAATGGATTATTTCTTACGTATTTTCTGGATCAGATTGGAATTTTAGTTCATCCATGTTGAAACATTCTATACAAAAATATTGAACGCTGCGTTCCAGCTCGTGTCGCCAGTGATAAACAATAGATAGAGCTTTAGATTTGACTACGTCTACGAGTACGATTACGAGATGTTTGCAAATACTCGCCTGTGATCACAGCAGGAATTTTGCATAGGTAAATTCAAAGTTTTGAAGGATTTGTAAGAAATATTTGAAGGATATACTCGGTGTTTAACATTAATTTAAATTAAGTCAGTTTGATTAAGGTATTAAGTTTAAAGAAATACTTTTTCGTACTTATAAACGGATCTGGTTTCCATAGCTGTTATAAATGACACCTTTTTTTATCATCGCTAAATTTTTTTTAATTAAGCTATAGGTATTAAGTTAAAAAAACTTTTTATATATATATATATACTTATAAACGGATCAGGCTTCTTTAGCTGTTAAATGACCCCTTTTTATCATTGCTATATTTTGTTTAAATAGGCCGGACGGCCGGTATACAGCTATAGCAAGTTTAAAAAAAATACTTTTTCATATTTATAAACGGATCAGGCTTCTTTAGCTATTAAATGACCCCTTTATTGTATCATTGGTATATTTTTTTAAACTTTTGGTACTAAGTTTAAAAAATACTTTTTTCATGCTTATAAACGGATCAGGCTTTCATCTGTTAAATGATCATGACACCTTTTTATTTTATTTTTTCATTGCTGTATTTTTTTTTAAATAAATTATATAGGTATAGCTAGTAAGTTTTAAAAAAATACTTTTTCATACTTACAAACAGATCAGGCTTCTATAGGCTAGCTGTTACCCATTTTTTGTATCATTGCTATATTTTTTAACCTTTTGGTACTAAGTTTAAAAAAACATACTTTTTTCATACTTATATTTATAAACCGGCGGATCAGGCTTTTAGCTATTAAGTGACACCTTTTTTGTGTCATTGCTATAAAAAATGAGAATGATGTCAATACTCAGGCAATAGTTTTGTGGCCCTTTTGTATTCAATACACCCTTTCGATAATTACGTCACAACTACACTGTTTTCAACTTAGGACCACCTTAAATGGAATGGATTTCAAGTTCGTTTCTCAAGGGCTATATGGGCAGAGAAGCAGAACATCCTTCTTCAACATATTCACAAAAAATAATTTTGGATTTTGATCAATAAATGTGGAAATAAGTTTTAACACGAAAACGGTTTAACTTAATGTTTAAGTCCCCTGTTTAAGAAATAGAAAACATACGAGTTTTCTCATTTCATGGGAATATCCTGAGTCTGCAATCACGGCTTCAATTTTTGAATTGCAGAATAATTAGATGCACTATCTAGTGTATATAAGATATCTATGGTTAAAGCTTATTTCCACATTTATCGATCAAAATCTAAAATTATTTTTTATGAATGTGTTGAAGAACGATGTTCTTCTTCTCTGTAATTATCGAAAGGGTGTATTATACCAAAGGTAGGAAAATCCTATTTCGACAGTTAAAGCTACAGGCCTGATC